GCAAAGCCTTTGACAGGAAACATCTGCCAGTCACTGCCTTAGTCGGAGATGTGTGCCTGCAGGGCAGCTCACCCATAGTTGATAGGCACCGTAGCCTACAAACAATGACAAAGTAAATCGTTATTTTTATGTTTTAAAGGAGGCCAAAAATCTGGATTTTCATGTGAAACTGGTTGATTTTTATATTTTGGCATCTAATTTATTTTTAAAATATCACGTGGGCACCACAAAGCCAGTTCCCAGGTCACCATTTTGCAAGCAAAGTGTGACGTGCATGTATGTCCTTGGCTAGCGCGCATCCCAAGAGCTGATTGTGTTAGCTCCTTCCTTAGGGGGCAGATCTGTTACAGCTGCCTCTATTCACCAATGGCTTCCCATTTCAAATTTGTTTACAATTCAGTTGCTTCACCTGTTAGTGCCTTTCTGGGATCATGGCTTTTTCTCAATGGCCTCTAGTAGCTTTTTCCCACCCTAAATAAAAGAAACACCTCCTGCCTTTTATCCCCACCCTGTGTTTTTGTCTATTTCTCCTATTTCCTGTGTCTTCAAAGGGCAGTCTCCACTCACTGCCTCCAGTGTGGTCTCTCATTCTCCCTTCCGTCCAGCACAGCCTGGCTGCTTTTCAGACCACTTCATTAAATGCGCTTCCAGGAAGGTCGGAGATGACCGACCACCTTCTTGCAAAATTCAATGGATGCTTTCAGATTCCCGTCTAACTTCCCTCTGGCATTTGACATCACTGACCACTTCCTCCACTTTGAAAGTGCCTTTATTCTTGGGTTTCACAATACTCTCTCCTTTTTCTCATTCTCACTTACCTCTCAGGCTGCTCCTTCCAATTTTTTTTCCTTTTTTCCTGGCTTGATTTCATTGAACTAATATTTATTGAACACCTGACTTCCAAATGTAGCCTGTATGCATCTCGCTCAACCAGAAATACAATTTTATTTCCCTGCAATAAATTTTATTTCTAATCTCAGCTTCCAGCTTATGTGGCTTATGTAATGTTTGAATTCAGTCTTTCCCCAAGCTCCCATCTTTCCCCAGGGTCACACCACAATCCGGGAAATGGAAAATGGGAGAAGTGTAACAGGCATGCATGTCTTTGCTCTAAATGGCTCCAGGTCCCTTGAGCTTTGCCTGCCTCCTGTTCCCAAGCTATGGCCAGGACACCCAGGGCCTGAGGTTCCACCTGCCTAACAGGATCCTACAGCACGTCCTGGAGTATAGTAATCACCACCTGTGCAGATCCACAGACTCGTCCTTGGTACTCTTAACGGCTACTTCTTTCCATCTCTTCAGTGGGTTTAGGTTTTCCCAAATGGCAGAAAATCTATTCATTTCAAACTACTTCTGCTCCCTGCCCCAACTCGGTAAAATGCCCCAAAGCCACGAAAACACCTTAACAGGGCATGCCTTCCTTGTGGGAAGTGGGGATAAAAATGGAGGGAATTTTTTCCCCACTTATGTTTTGGAGAGGTCTCCTGCCATAATCCTTATGCCATCTCTGAGAAGTGGGTGCAATTTTGCTACTTCACAGATGAGAAAACTTAGATTTTAAGTTGCCCAAGGCCATGTAACTACAAATCTCCAGTTTTTAACCATTGCTGAATGTGGCCTGTCTCCTTGCTTCTGTGTAAATCGCTGGTGGTCTTCCTCTTCCAGAGTGCTGCAGACAGCCTCAAGGGTGCGGAGGAGCACCCATCAGCACCCAAGGCTCTGCATGAGAAAACTACCCAAAGGCAGGGAAAGAACCACCTGAAGGAAGAGCTCACACACAGTACCCAGAGCTCACACACAGATTGGAGTTTTGCCCATTCCAAATAGCCAGGGTGCAAAATTTTCTAGGGCAGGGGCATCATATCCACTTTGACGTTTCAACCCAAACTGGGCATCCTTGCCAAGAGGGGTCAAGGTCGTAGGCTGATAAAATTATGACAGAGACTTTAATGTGGACATAACCATTCAGGAGGGTCTATGGGAGGAGCTAGGGATTATGGGAGGAGTTCTCACTCTCTGTCATTGGGAGAGCCCTCCAGGAAGAACTCTGAGTTCACAACAGAGCTCCGTGGTATTAACAGTTCCTCCCCTTAACTTCCTCTTCCCCTCTGTAAAGTACTCCTTCATCTTTGTCCAGTGCAGTGCACACATGTGATTCGCCATGTCTCCACACACTGGATTGCAATCCTTTCTTCCCCCCCCCCAATAAATCCTTTTGGTGATGGAATACCTAGGCAATTCTGTTTTTTATGGTCAACAGAGCTTTCTGGTAATGCAGTCCCTCACCCTCTCCCTGCAAAAAGAAATGCAACCTAGACAGGAAACACCACAATCTCAGCTGGGCCTCCAGCAATCTGTATTTACCCAGCCTACCAACTCAAACATCTAAATCTTGTTCCTCACTGCCCCACACAGCTCCTCTGCTCAAAGCTATGGGAGAATTCCCATCGCTTTCACCACTTCCCACCCACAAGGCAGCTGGGTCCTGACTCAGCAAAGAGATAGTGAGAGACAGATGAGGTAAGAGGAATACAAAGAGGAGGAATCATCCCCTTCTTCCCCAAAACCTCAAGGGAAAACGGGATCTGGGATTTGTGGGCTGTGGCCCTTGGGGAGTTATGCAAACCCAAATGGCACCAAACACCACTTTTGTTCAGAGATTTTTTTTTAAGCCAACTCTCCTAAAAACAATTCAGAATGCTTTTGCACTTAGAAACGATGTGGCTGCTTTCCTGGTTTACGCTATTTCAGTGAGTTCATTTTAGAAAGGCAGTTTCTGAATACATCCACTGGAGCAGGACCACCGTGCTAGCAGAGCAGTTGTCAACTTGCTCAGTGAAAGCATGAATGGACCAAGGTCTCAATATTAAAAAGAAAAAATACACCCCACCTTAAAATAGTCTCCCAGACCTCATTTTAATAGAGTCCCTGTCCATTCAGAGACTTTCATAAATAACCTCACAATTAATGACATGTGTTTATCTGCAAAGCCACTCACCTGAAATACACAGTGGTTGATGTTCTCTCTGGATATGGAGTTTATTTATGAGAAAGAAAGACTTGACCAAGGATAAAAATAGAGCAGCGGTATGCAACTAAATTTGCAACTGCTCTCCCCAAAAACCTTGGGTGTAACCTATTTTGAAAAGAGTTCAATCTGAGGTGATATAGAAATATAGCTGAACAAGGAGCTTGCAACTATGAAGAAAAACGGAATTGACCCTTCTCCCTTGTAATTCTGATGGGAGACAGAATCACTGCATCGAATAGGTGGACCCTCTGTTCTCGGATGTATTTTATGCAGAATTATATTTAGATTATATTATGTAATTATTGCATAATCAAAGTCAGTGTACTGAAAAGTTCAATCCTGTCACACCTTTCTTGAGAATTTTCGATGATTTCCCATTGCACTTAAATAGAACTCAAGCAAAATTCTGCAATGGGGGTCTAGATGACCTACTGACCTGGTCCCTACCAGTCTTCCCACTGCACTCTGGCACGCTGTTTTCTTTCAGGCGGTCACACATCCCAAGATCCTTCCAACCCCCGGGCCTTGGCCACGCTCTTGCTTCTTGTCCCTATTCTTCTTGAGGCCAGCTCTTCTTATCGTCCAAGCCTTTGCTATAACACATTGACAGGGTTCATCTCTTTCCAGCCCTTCAATCCATGCCTCTGTCATTATGTCAAAGCACATGTCACAGCTAAACCATGGGGATTTTAGAAGAGGCCTCTTTCTCCCCTTAAAGTAAGCTCTACAATATCAGGAACCATGTTTATTTTATTTACTATTTTATTCCCCTGTGGCAAGGATAGGTACTGGGATATAGTAGATGCTCAATAAATCATTATTAACTGTTAAATAGAGAAGGAGTCATATTTCAATTGGTGTCTACCAAGCTTTTATCCTACACCAAACAACAAAGTCCAATTCAAGCATTCTTCTGCATTCCCATCTTTGTTCTTCCCCTTTTCATAAAGTCTTCCTGAGCTTCTTGCCTCCAGTGAAACAAGGCATATAAAGTACCAGAGACAGGCCTAGAACATAGTAGCTTCCCGATGAACACAGGTGTCATTAGTATCACCATATTCTCCTCTCCAGGTGCACGTCTGTAGCTGTCTCCCAAATGCCAGTTTTTCTCTTACTACATTCGTGATTTCTCCCATATGCCTGTACCATCTGTCCTACTTTTGTTGTAATGTATTTTTTCTTTGACACATCTTCCTTCTTAATTTTTTTAATTTCTAGAAATCTGAAGCCCATTTCCCTGATCATAAAGGGGGAAACCATAAAAACTAACACAATGAAAACAAAACAATACGCTGTTTTCTTTTTAAAAAAGGGGGATTAGCCACTGTTAATAGATATCACAACACTAAGGAGAGCCTTTTCCCATGATACAATTGGGATTGAAAATGTTCGAATGACTTCCTTACTCTGTGATTCATTATTAAAGCCATAACTGTGGCCATCTAAAATCGCTCCACCTACCATTCAGACCATTCTGTTTTTGTATTATTATTATTAGAAATTTTTACTTGGCACGTATTACTAACTACCTCGACTGATTAATTATTCTTTTATATCTATAACTCATCCCACTGTCTTCATTCTCTGTATATTCTCCATGGATCTTATGTGGACACCTTATACAGCATACATGCTTAATAGAGTCTCATTGAGCTTTGAACCAACTTAATCAAAAGAAATTACTCTTCCAAACTTCAGAATATTTTAAAAAGAGGTAAGTGAGAAAGGGGATGAGGGAACTTTTCTGGTTCCCTTTCCCTCCGCCCTCTGGGTTTCCCATAGATAGGAACCTAAACTACCCTATGCCGGCCACTGCAGCTGAACACCAAGCACGCCCCTTCGACGGTGCAAACTACACTCAACAGGGAGGAGGGCCCGACAGAGGCAAAGCATACCTTTCATGCCATGAGTAGACCAGAAGCCAACACTCTAATTCATGGACAAAATAAAGGCCAAAGAAAACCAGGAAAAAACTGGATGTGTGATTTATTATATTTAAGATTGGTTTATAAGGCTTAAATACGTCTGTCATAATTAACAGTAAATAAATGCAACTTTACAAAATCAGTATTTCAATACAGTACAGGACTAAATGTCGTAACTGTGCATTGGAAAATTAGTATTTCTTCCATACAAATCTCAAGTCTGCAGCACCATTTAGAAGCTCCCACTAAAAAACACAAGCTGCAGTATTTATTACAAGCTCTACGCAGAGCACGAGGCTACCTAGACCAAGCATTAGAGAAAAACAGTGGAGTCATTCAGGCATAATACGTAAGATTTGGTACAGGATTAAAACACTAACATTTTGTAATGTCCTGGTTTCAAATTAATAAATACAAACACAATATAAAAATATACACCAGTTGACAAGACGGCCCTGTGGAGGAGCAGAACGTTAGATCTCGCTCTCGTACGTATGCAGGTACGTCTTTAGCGCCAGAATTTCTGAGTAGCTGCGGCTGGTCTTCCGGAAGAAATCCAGGCTGGTGAGATGTTCTATGTCTCGCACGCGTGCTGTGTGCATCTTGATGAGCTCTTCCACCCATCTCGACTCATCCTCTGAGCTCTGCAATGGAAACAGAATGCAGTCGGCGTCAGAATTTTCCAGAGGAGGTTCTCCACACGGTCCGTTTGCTCCATGTCCACGAACGACCTCGACGCACTCCCACACCCAGGGCCAAGGTGTGCGACACTCCTTCCTGGCCTTCTCCTGCCACTCCACCGCATTCCTGTCAGTGACACGCCAGATACCTGCCGTCGGCTGCCAACGTTTTCAACAGCAATTAGCTGTACTAAATAAACAAGACATGGGGTGTGAAAGGGCATTTGATTTCATCAGTTCTCAGAATATAAATCAAAATTAGGAAAACCAAAAGTCTTGGGGAATTCAGTAATTTGTTCCTTTTCCCTGCTGTCATATTACAGCATTGTGCCCAGAGCACAAGTAATCTGGAATGCCCCCAAGGGAAGGGAAGAGCTTGTGCCCAATGCGCAAAATCACGTCTGTGCATCCCTTGTCTTTCAGAAGAACCCGCTGTGCCAGCTACGCCATCTATTTGACTGCAATGAATGGACAGCTGAATATGAGTTTGACCTGAAGAGGCTTAACTGACACACCCGGCACTTTGGGGCCCAAGAGACCTGGGTTGGGACTGTGGCTCTGCCACTTTCCAGCTATGAGCCTTTGGTCAAACCGGTTGATCTCTGTAGGCCTCAGTTTCTCCTTTGGTTCACAAAGACAATAATGCTTAACTCAGCTGCTCCCTGGGAGGTCAGATGGAGGGGTGCCAGGGGAGGGTAAAGTACGAGAGCATGGAAAACGTCATGGAAAACAAAGAAAGAAAATCTCTGTCTTGGCTACTTGCCAACTGCTGCCTCATCAGCACATATTCGAGCTGAAGTTCATCAGATCAGATGTCCCACCCCAATTAAGTTATTTCACGTCCAAGTTGAAACTAAAAAGCAACTCAGGAGAAGGGGTCCTTACATTTTAAAAATAACTTCTTTCACTTTTGAGGGAAGTCAAGAGCGAGAATGATATTTGAGAGCTCTGAGAATTATGGAGCAATGCCTACCTTCATTAGCAGACACAAAGCGGGAGGACCTTTGCAAATAATTTCACTCCCAAGTGCCCTTGGAATTGCACTGGCTCCCAAGAGTCTTTCACAAGTTGAAGGATGGCTGCATGTCCCTGGGCCGAGGACGCCCAGACGTGCCCTCACCCAACACTTTCACCACTAGCGCTCTCAATGAACCAAAGCCCAAGAACCTGCGATGGGTTTTCTCGGAAAGCTCCAGCCCACACAGACCTGGACAGGGAGCTCCAGCAGCTTGTGCCAGTGCTAAATATGTACCACGAGGGTGTTGGTTCAGGAAACTGATGCCCGGCCATCCCAGGCAAAATGAAGAAATAGGAAGAAATTGCTTTGCACACTGGGGAAGTAAGGACTTTAACCCTCCACGCCCCACCCTCCTAACCCAAGCTAACCAAGATCTCTGGGATTCACAGGAAAGGAAAGGTCTAAATATAACTCTACCCACAACGGTACTGACCAGTCCTCAGTGTGACCATATAATTAACGAAGTAGGAGGTCTCCAAACCCTGCAGGACCCCCTCAGAGTAAGCAGAGTAAGCATGAAGCTATATTTTGGGAGAATTTTCATATTCAATTCATTATTTAATTTTCAACGGTCGGTAAGCATATTTTTCCTTTGAAAATGTGGTCGTTCCATTGTGTGGAGAAGGAGTGCATAAGTTTTTTTTAATTTAAATAATGGCCAGCTGGGAGTATAAAAATTCAGGGGGGAAAATCTGTCGTTTGCTATTTCTTTCCTTGGGAAGTGATTTGCCAAATTCGTGCAAAAGACATTTTCATCTGGTTCTCACCTGCTGAAATCTAGCCCCCAAGCAATTATTAGGAAATACTAGCCATGCTGCATGTGGGGAAAAAAAATGTCTTCTGTGTGAGGTTAGCTGGCAGTCCACAGAAGTATTTGCTGAGGGAGACTCTAGTGTGAAATGCAAAACTAATAAAATTCAAATTAAAGGTCATGTGCACCAACAGAGGGAAGAAGGAAAGGAACAACTTTAAGAATAGACAACTTAGAACATGGATGCAACCAAAGGCACAATCCATGAATTTGCTTACTGTCTCTATTACTATGAAAATTTACTGTTCGGCTGCCTTTTCTCCGTGACTTTATCCCAATTGAGTCTGTGAATGTAAGCCCTAGCAGTTTTAAAGTGACCACCAAAGCAAGGACAGGACTCTATGTGGATAAGGCATTTTTCAATAAGAAAGTCACTGGCCATGCACTCTACAAGAAACACCGCTGAGCTCTATGCAGAATCAGGAATCAGGAAGGAGAGACAGACCACGAAGACTTTAGTGGATTTCATTTGTCAGACAAAAAAATTTGTGGTGACTTAAAGGACTGCTTTGACCTGTATTTAGAAGAACATTTAAAAATTCTCCCATCACCAAATTCCCCTAATGACAGAGGAACTTGAATATGTATTCCCTAGAAACCTAGATATACCCTCGATGGCCCGTTCTCAGTCTGAAATGTTCTTTGTAGTCTCCCTCTTATCTTAAAAATACATGGCGATTTTAAATTTCACTCCATAACATATGTGTTTACATTTTTGCAAAAAATTGTACACCCCCGCCACAAGTTGTTGGTGGATCTGAAGTTCAAATACAGGGTATCAGGTTATACAGAGGAATTATACTGTTCTGGTGCACCATCTGCTACGCTTGTGGTTATAACCCATCAAAATTGAGAAGGTCAAGCCAATTAGTTGATGACAACTCATCTCTCCTGCAGTTCCCTTGCTTCTCCGCCTCCCATCCAATTACTTAGAAGATCTTAATGATGCTTCTGGTGTAATACCGCTGCCTTCCACCCTTCTCTTCCAATTTCCAAGACCACAGCCCCATTTCAAGTTGTGACCTCAATCCCAGGAAATGAATCTTGCCAAAGGCCATTGAGCACCGCGCTTGGTCTGCTTCAATTCAAATTTACCTCCCTACAGCAGAGCTTACAAGATTGCTCTTATGCTTAAACATTTCCGTGGCTTTTTAATGCCTGTGCAGTAAGAAAAATTCCTAAGGTCCCATGGTTCCACTATGGAAATCTGATAAACTAGAAAGAGGGTAGATTTTTGGAGTTAAGAGGCCTTGAATCCAAAGCTCCGCTCTCCTACTGACTAACCAGGTAACCAACTCACATACCTTTCATTTAACAGCTATAGGTTGCTCATTGGTTATTAAGAGGAGGTCAGGGAGAGCACATAGACCTGCCCCATAGGGTGACCAGATAATTAGAAGTAATATATGTAAAGGACTTGCAGAGTTCTTGGGTGGTCACAGGTTCTCAATAAATGGTAAGAGCTACTATTGCTGCTACTGTGACTATTATTACAATTTTTTTAATTTTAAATTTGATTTCAAGCAAGTTTTAAAACCTTATCCAAACTGCCAGTTATATATATAACTGGCACAGTAATTAGGTATGGTGCCAGCTGGGTAGTAGACTTATCAGGGTGAGCACTTCGTAAGTTGTATAAATATCTAATCACTGGGTTGTGGACCTGAAACTAATATCATATTGGATGTCAGCTGTAATTGAAAAGAATTTTTTAAAATCTTACCTCCCACTATTACTCTCATTTCCATTATTCTGGCCAAACTTAATTAGCTTTCTTGGCCATATTTTAAATTTCTTTTTTTTTCCTGCACCCCTTATTCTGCTTTGGATATTCATAGCCCAATCTTCTCTTTCACTTGAAACCACTGTCCAAGAGCCGAGTTGGCCGCGGAGCCGATGATCTCTGCTGAAGTTGTTCAGTGGCACTTTGCCTCTTCATGTAGCAATTTCTGTGCCCGTTTCATTGGCTCCCCCCGCTGCAGGCTGCCTAGAGCAGTGACTGTGTGTCTCCCAGAGTCCCTCACATAAGTTAGGGATTTGAGTTGTGTTTGTTGACTAAAAATCCTCTTCGGTAGATTTTATCCCTGCTCCTTTTACTATTACGTGAAACAAAAGCATCAAGACTATTACTTTTAAAATCAGCCCTGCAACACAGACACCCGATTACTTTAGTGAGATCTAGAAAGACTCGTGACTTCTCCCTGAGCGCAGAATTAGTTCAGGGCCGGGAGCATGCACCATGGCTCCTGTCTGCCTACCCGGGAGTTTTTGTCCTGCTGTCCGGCCTCCACACAGGGACAAGAGAATCAGGAGTCATCTATGCTATTTGAGGGGGGGAGGGTTCACCTCCCCTCCTAACTAGAAGCAAATGAACTCTGATTTGGAAAGCATATGTTCCCCTATGAGTGTGTGCGTTTTAAAAAAATGTTTTTATCATGGAAGTTCTCAAACATCCACAGAAGTAGAGAGAATAATATAATAAGCTCCTGCGAATGCTTACCTAGTTTCAATAATTATCAAATTCTTGCTACTTTCCTTTTGCTTTTTATAAAATCTAGAAGCCTTCTGCAAAACTCAAAACACTCGGGCACTTTTATCCTTTGTCAAACTCAAACACATAAATAGAAATACATTAAATGCAAACACACACGTCAACCCACACTCTAACACTGATAAATAAAAAGCCATTAGAACACGCAGTCCCCGAGTGTTAAGCAAAGTTTTGCTTGGGTCCTTTCTTCTTTCCATTTGCTTGTATAGTCCAAATGTCTTATACAATAACAAGGGTGCTCTAGTACAACAGGGGGAACATAAATTGAGAAGTGAAGATGACCTCCGTAAGCACACCCCAAAGGCCCTCTTTGAACTCACGTTGCAGCTCTCATCGTTGTCGGGTCTGTGCGGAAGGATGAACGCGGAGACGGAGAGGGGGCCGTCGCACTTGTCCGCAGGCTGAGTGAAGTCCAGGCAGCTGGTGAGGATGCTGTAGTAGTGAGTTGGAACGGGAATGGAGCTGCCTTCCACGTGCCTGAGGCGGGAAGGGAATGACAGCTGATGTAGCAGCTTTCCCTGTGAAATGCTGAGCAGTGAGTATTGCCGAGGCCGCTACAGTGAATTCCCACTCAACTGAATCATTTTTGTCCTCTAAGCACTAGCCAACTTCTTTATCTTTGAACATAATGTATTCACTGCCTGGACTCCAACCTCCCTCAACCTGGCAGAGTAAATAAGATATTTCAGGAAAAGAAAACAGCTTGAATCCAGACTTGGACGTTGGACACAGATCAATGTAGCAGAAATGTAAGGCTGGACGAGTCAATACATTCCAAATTGCAGAGAGTCCTGAGGGCCAAGCTGTGGAGTTTGGGCATTGTTGTTTAGGCAACAACACTCCGCTGAAGGTTTCTGTGCGAGGGGCTGTCACTGGGAAATGCACGTTTCAGGGGAATAACTTGCAGAGTTGTATAAAGTGAGCCAGAGAGAGGAGACACTGAAGTGAGGGGGATAATAGGCCTTTCAAGCCACCGTGAAATCCTGAACTGGGTGCAGAGAACTTGCTTATTAAAGGAAACACTAAGGACTGGGTGCTAGTGATAAGCCTAGATCAGAGGAATCAAAACATCTTTTCCAGCAGAACAAAGTACAGAAATCACAATTCCTTACCTGGTATTATATTATCTTAATTTTGGTCATTTTCAAAATATCAAAATTACGATGAAACTGACAACATAATTGGCTAAAAACTCTAACAATGATCAGCAACCAATGAATGTGCAGTCATGGTGAAATTTCTCTTACGCATAACTGGAAAGGGAGTGAGATAACTTCTATTTTATTAGTTATTTTTATGAAAAAATATCATTTTTTCTAGTCTATAAACCACGATTAAACCATTTTACGTTCTGTGCTGCTCTGACTCATGTGTCTAAAATTAAATTGTTCGTATTTTCTTGCCTTCCCCACCAGACTGTGAGTTCCCTGCGGGCAGAGTTTTCTCACCCTAGTGTATGCCCAGTGACATCCCAGAGAGGAACAGAAACCAGAGTCCGTGAAAGTCTCTATGCAGTTTCCTACTGAGACACGCTAATTCAGAAAATCTAAGGGATTCTAAAAGTCCCCCCAAATAATGAAGGTAACTGAAAATTATCTCCCCACAAAGGAGTTGTTATGGAATAAATGACAAAAAATTAAATGTTTTGATACATTTCCTTCCCTGGAGTAGAAAAGTGCATCTATTCACCACAAAATCCAAGGATCTAGATTTTGGTGGTGGTTCCATTCCAACCCCCAATGCCACGCTTTCTCAGAGGCCCAAAAGGACTGAAGAAATCACAAGGAGATTCAAAGAGCAAAAGATTTAAGGGGTGTCAGCTATTTTCTAGTCCATGTATCTTTGAAAAACAGTGTCGAGAGACATACTGGAATTTAAAAAAATACACACTCGGTGAAAATGAAAAGCTTACTGTTTGATTTTGTCCTGTGTGTCATGCAAGCCATCGAAGTCGTAGTCAAAAATGGGTCCGCTTATCACGTTAATTCCATTCCTTTCTGAAGCGTATTTCTTCACCAATACCCTTTGGAAGTAATTCCAGACTCCTGTGCAAAGACAAAATCAGTTCTTCATGAATAAAACTCCTCACTTTGACTAAACTCTCTCTACAGGGCACTGTACAAGCCAAATATCACAAGCCCAGAGACAACAGAGCTGTTGATTCTTGAGAAGAATCCATCCTGAAGCATTAGCTGTCTGTGTATCATTTATGGACCAACAAAGAGAAAGCTATGGAAACATTGGCAGGGAGTTGACCCCAGCCCAATCATTCAGAGAAGGATTTGCAGGTGAAGTGGTTACTGAGTTGAGATTTGAAGGACAAGTGGGTGTTTCCTAGGCAACAAGATGGAGACAGAACATTCTAGGCAGCGGGAACAGTATGTACCAAGGAGGAAGTACAGTATTTGTGAGAAATTGAAAAAAGGCTTTAATCTACTTTTTAATCTTTCATAATCTCTTAGATAGGCCAGTTCCCCAGTTTGTGTCTCCAGCTCCTGACAGCTCCAGACATGCTACCCAGCCACCCATCTCACGGTCCACTGGAGTACCTAGAAATCACATGGAACAAAAATTCACCGAAACACAATGCTTGATTTTCCTTCCCCATCTTGCTCCAGCTCTTGGCTTCTCCATCATAGTAACGGCACTCACATTCATCCAGATGTTCAGGTCAAAATCCCCAGGGTCATCCTGGCTTCTCTCCTTACTCCATAAGCATGTGAACAAGTCCTAGCAGTGCCACCTCCAAGACACACCCCAGTCATCCAATCCAACCACTTCTCACCATTCTCACTGCACCCACCCTGGGCTGAGTTACTTCCCTCTCTGCGATAAACTACTATGGAAAACTCCTTCAGGGACTCTCGGTAAGACACTCTAGGTCCCTGTAGCCCATTCTCCATATAAATGGATCCTTTTACACCATAAATCAGATTGTATTACACATTCCATGCAACACCCATTTGTAAGAGTTTTTAAAATTTTATTATTGGTTTTTAGAGAGAGAGGAAGGGGGAAGAGAGAGAGAGAGAGAGAGAGACATGGACTTGTTGTCCCATTTATTGATGCACTCATTGGTTGATTTTTGTATGTGTCCCGACCAGAGATCAAACCTGAAACCTTGGCATATATTGGGATGATGCTCTAACCAACTGAACTACCAGGCCAGGGCCCAGCACCCATTTCTAACACTCTAGATGATTTCTTACTGTACACAATTAGAATAAAATCTCAACTTTCCGCTGTGACCCCCGCCTACCTCCATGGCTTTACTTCCTACCCCTGTCCCCTCGGGTTCGTGGCTTTCTTCCTGCCCCCAACCTGGCCAACGTGTTTCCCACTAAACTTTTGCATTGGCTATTCCTTGTGCCTGGACAACTCCTTCCCTGATCCATGCAAGTCAGGTTTCTTCTCCATCATTCATTATTCATTTCTCGGTTTCAAGGTCACCCCCTGGAGAGGACTTAATTGTCTACTCCAGCTCCATTTTGCATTATGACCAATCCAAGGGACAGGAAAGGAGCTGAATGGAAAAGAAAAAAAAAGGACAAAAGCAAAAGAGAATAACAGAAGAAAGGCAAACAATGACTTGGTTCTGGAAAGTTAGATTCGACTTACTAGGCTCTGTTCTCCATGGGGGTGATGAGGCGCAGGTGTTACCCCTCCTTACCTGCCCCTATTCACAGCACTTGGCCATTTTCTCATAGCACTTTGACTGCTTTTGATACCTCCCGACAGTCCACCCTGAGTGAGAATGGGCAAGTCCCCAGAGCCAAAACACCACGGGCATTTGCCATAAAGAAAGGAGGGCAGCGGGAGAGAAGTTCAAATGCTAACCTAAGCTGCTAGAGAGGCAAGACAGCAGAGGAGTAACAACGAGAACAGTCAAGAGGCCGACCCCCCAGAAATGTGGCCAAGAAAAAAACTGCGCCCCGGCGAGGAACAGCGAGCCCTCTGTGACCGGCCTTCTGCCACGCCAGCCTCAGGGTGGCACCCAGTGTTTCCTTTACTGCCACTCGGTCAAAGAGGCATCAGTAAGAGTAAAGAAACCCAGGAAACCCCCGTGTGTGGGAATTAAATGAAGCTGCACATTATGACAAATGTATCGACATGGGTTTCCAAAACATTCCTCAGCTGGGCCTGGGAACAAACCAAGAAACCTTTTAAGAGCACACTTCAATTTTTCATTCACAAGCATGGCTTCCTCCTTTGAATAAAGCTTCATTTACTAACTGAGGACATCAAATAAACATTTTTTTTCTCTAAACCATGTTGGCCATTTCACCGATGTTAAGTTGGGGAGGTTTGCCACTATAGATGGTGCTCTACAGTCATGTGTCCCTGTGAGTCCTGGTTTGAGACTTTATTTCAGCCCTGAGAGTCCTGTGACACAGCCCAGTGCAGGAGCAGGTAGAGATGCCTCCTTCTCCCACCTTTTCTGCAGGCATATAGGTCTGCCCACTGTAAATGAATGAAGGAGAGGTAAGAGCTACTCCATAGTGTTTTTTCTGTGTTTGAATACATGGATAGATGAGTAACTGGATGGATAAATGGGTGAATGGATGAATTCTTTGTTATGAGAAATAGAAATGGAATTGTTCTGGTCATTGGATAATTAAGTCATAAATCTATGTATAAACCATAGAGGTCATGCAATCAGATCTTTCAATTTTGCAAATAAGAGGTTAAATGGCATTTCTGTGTCACCCTCCTGGGACTGGAACCCAGTTTCTGGCCTGGGGCTCCTTCTGCTTATATCAGTCACGGCATCACTATCGTCCATAGATATTTACGTCACGTACAGAGAAATAAGGAGTGTTCAGAGAAACTAAGACAATTTGCAGAGCTCTAAAAACATCTGGATCTAATCCTCAGATGATTCAGAAGACAAGCTCTTACTCGGTTTCAGGGTTAATGTTCAGAATACATCATCACCATCATCCGGAAAGAGAGAGCTACTAGTGGCTTGTACTGCAACATTCAATAAATGAATGTAGATGCTGTTACATGTCAAGTGGCCTCCAAGATACTGAGAAGCCCCTTTGTCACCAGTCTTACAATGAGCACTGAAGTACACCAGCTTAAAAGGAAAACACAAACTTGGTTTAGTTCAGCTTCTGCCACATGATCTGGGTAATCGCTTGTGTTTCAATTTCTTAATTGTGAACAATGGATAAAGAATCTGCCAACCTCTGTTACAGATTTGGATTTTGGATTAAAGCTAGAGAATTTACATGAAAGGTATTCAAAAATTAAAAAGGGTAAACGCAAGAAGTAATGTAGAAGTAGAAACATTAAGTGATAAATTTAGAAATTTTTTTTATAAGTAGCAGTTTATGAGATAAATACTGGACTCACGTTTGAAAGCAGGATACATTGGGACCATATTGGTTACAAGGAATGTATCATATTTAGCTTCTGGTGAAGAGCTCAGGTCTAAACATGAGAAAAGCAAACAGTCTCCATTACTTATCAAAATCTATTTCAATTTTTTTTTAAATCAGTCTTCTAAATGATCCAAATAACCTGAAGTGGATGGATCTACTCTCTTGTTACTTATTCAATCTTCCCCTTATATAGAAGTTCCTACTTCTTCTTTTACTCAGTCTCTTTCATTTACTCAATAGTTCTCTCAAAAAATTTTTTTACAATGATTTTTCTTCCTACCTAGTCTTGGGTCTAGTAAATATTATGTAAAGGAGTTCTTGCTTTCACTACCATAAATTTAGACTTTAAAAAAAAATTCCATCAAGGTAATAAGAAAGTAATTAAAGGGCTCCATCTATCTTAAGAGATCACCTCTACCACATTGTTTAAATAATGATGTCTTAATGATTTTCTCTTTCACTTCTAGACTCTCACTAAATGATACAAGGGGCACACACACTATCCCCTTGCACTTCAGAATGCCTCCGGAGGACAGGATTTGTGAAAGCTGGCCCCTTCTCCGGCCCGTTTCGGAAGGGTCCCGTAGTAGTTCCTGTCTTCCACCTCTGGAGCAGCTCCCCTGAAGGAAGCCTGGAGACCACCGAAGCCTGGAATTCCAAGTCGCACACTCCAAACCCCACAAAATTACATCCCTCTAGAATGGGCAGAGGCTGATACTCTGGAACTTACAAGGAGGGAAGAGGAATCCATAAGACATCTGTTTATCATTTTTGTAGGCCAAACAGCTCTGACTGAAACTCGGAGAAACACGAACATCGGGCCGGACGCAGTTGGTCAAGTGCTCGGGGATGCCAGAGACCTCAGCCTGCATGGTGAGTCAGAGGTGCTCAGTAATGTCATCGCTGGGAGAGCATCAAACCAACAGTGAAACACCAAAACCAGATCATTCTGTTACAGCGGGAATCAAAACCCCTCTAGCTTTTACTATAGCTCATATTTTGATCATCTTGACTCCTTCAAAAATAAAAAAGGACCTCAGTTTTTAAATACAGTAAGCCAACAATGTTCATACTCTTAACGTTTTAGCAGCAGAACTCTTTTGATAAAGTCTTAAGTAAACAATATATAAAGTAGGTATCCCACTGTTGAAATAATAAACAGGATGCCAGAGAAGACACTTCAAAAATAACATCTGGGAAATAACAGGGACTTGCTCTCTACAAAAAGAAAAACTGCATAGACATAGTGCATGGCCCAGAGCGCACAAACATGCACACAGTTCAAATTAGCAAGAAGCTGTGTGGGGGGTGGTGGAGGGATTCATTTGTACTGAGAAATTAAAAGCATATTCTCAACTGCCAAATAAATGTTTCTAATTCCTGATAGCAACTTATCTCCTCTTCATTAACACTGAAACTCCACAATCAAGCTTTTATAAAAAAACAAACAGGATGCAGCCCTGGCTGGTGTGGCTCGGCGGATTGAGCACCGGCCTGTGAACCCTGCGAACCAAAGGATCGGCTGTTTGGATTCCCAGTCAGGGCACATGCCTGGGTTGTGAGCTAGGTCCCCAGTAGGGGGCGCACAAGAGGCAACGACACACTGATGTTGCTCTCCCTCTCTTTCTTCCTCCCTTCCTCTCTCCCTAAAAATAAATAAATAAACCTTTTTAAAAAACCAGGATGTGATAGTGGAAGAAGCTGTATGTGTTTGGGGACAGAGTGTGAGTATATGGGGACTCTGTGTCATTTCCACTTGGTTTTCGCTATAAGCCTAAAGCTGTTCTGAAAAATAAAATCTATTAAACAAATCTTGGTGACTTCTGGAAGTACTGGGCAATAACAAGCAGAGTGGAAAAAAAACGAAAATAATTAGTTTGCCCCCTTTGATATTTAACATATTACCATAAAGTTATTAGAACGTTGCATTAAGTCTAGTTCAAAATCTCTTGCAATACATCCAACACAGGATTTGCTTCATCAGAAACAATTAAAATCTTTTCTAAGACAAAATTCTGTTATGCAAGCAATGCAAAGGAATGTGATCACATGAAGAGGTTCGTAAAACCCCGTTTTCTCAATGACCTGTTTGGAAACGGTGTATGACGTCCAGAGTGGCATTTGGAATATCTCACTGTAACCGCTTTCAAAATCAGTATGATATAAGATATCATATTGAGTCCGATAAAGCACTGCAGGCCGTCCGTAGAGGAGGTGTCTCTCTAGGAAAGAAAAAAATAAACTGTATTAAACATAAATTAAACTTTATATCAAATATTAAAGAAACATTGGAAGAGGGTCCAGTTGTCCAAAATATGCTGGATTACTTATCAATGACGTAGAGCTCTTTCTCCTTAATTCAATCAAGTTAGTTTTCCTAACACTTTTGTGGTTTATCTGATCACCTAAGCAGGGGTCAAGGCTAATGATGATCAAACCTATGATGCAAATGCCATACTCATTTTAATGCTTTATTTTCAGCTGTAAAGAATTCTAACCTGTAGAGGAAGGAAACATGGTTAGCAAATTTTGAAATGATTCTGCTGAATAAGCAGTCAGTAGGATTGTTTTTTGTGGAATTAATTCACTGGGCCCCTGAAAAGGTTCATCAAATTCACCAGTGATTTAATTAAGAGGAAGGCGCCCTTTGATCATTAGTTGCAAGCAGCAACTCAAACACGCATTATTTCAGCAGACACAGTGAGTAGTAATGAGCATTTAAAGTAAGCAGCTTTGTCACATGGAGGAAAACTCTTCAGGTTAGAACTTAAGGAAACATGGAGAGACAAAATCAGTGAGCATTCCAGAGCATCCTTTAAATCCAGAAGAGGGAGGCCATCAGTTTCTGATGAATCTGGTAAGACCCCAGAATGTAGATTCAGAACTCCAAGGAAAAGGTCTTCCATTAGGAAAAAGTAAGGTCTGAAACCTCACTTTTGCAGGATGAAGAGATAGGCATTTAGTGTGCCAACTTTCATTCCACACCCACGACAACTGCCTGGAGCTTGATCTGCCCAGTTTGGACGGGCTCAAGTCAGAACTTCCATAGATTCTTGGAAATTGGGGTCTTACAGACCAAAATATTTAAAGATTGAGGTATTGAGCTTTAGGCAATTCACAATTCCCTAAGTGATCATCAAAAAACAATTTACGATTATTTTTATTAGAGAAAATCAGCTCTGGCAATCCCTTATTAAATTATTTATACATGTTGCTTTAATTAAAGTATCACCCATCTGTGCAAGTGACAGAGGAAACTCTTCGTAGAATACTTTGCGAGACCCTCCCCAAGCAGAACTGCTGATTTGAGGCAAAGCAGTCTGCAGCTCACAGCACAAGCCTTGTTCTGGGTAGTTCGGTCTCAGCGCTGCACTGAATGAGGAAGCCTTGGCTGAGCTGCCAAATTCGGGGACCCACCTCTTAGAACATGATGCGATAGTATTGTACCAATGAAATGTAGTGAACAAAAAATAGCCAGCAAATCATAACAGTAGTACTTGGGGGCAGCGAAGCAAGTCAGACTTTCCTTCAAAACTCAAACCAAACCTTTTCTAGGTTCAAAATTTCCATTCACGTTTTCCTTGTTTTTGTTTTTGTTGCCTCTGAATTTCCTGGTTTCAGCTGGAAGTAGAAGTATCAAAATTCTTTGAGATGCTATTCTCTTTTTATCGCTCGCATTTTAATGCTTACCAAACACACACAAGTGCAAACCTCACCTGCAGTCCGTTCCGTCGAGGGACTGCAGCAGCCACACTTCGCTCTGCAACACCCCTCCAAACAATAGTTTTAAACAACAGATAGACTCCACCAGCTCTGGCTCCCACCCCAGCCCTCCTCATTTATTGGCATTTCTCAACATAACGCTGCATTCCAAGAAGGCTGATTTATTTGCCATACTCAGCTCGTGAGCATTAGGAACTCTATGCTTTTATACATGTGAGTCTCTTTCTCTCCACCAGAAATAACTTCTCCACCAACCTGTCACCTATCTACCTTCTCGTTTTTTGCTGTTGTATCTCCCCTCATCAGACATTTACCCAGTACCTTCTTTGTGCCAAGCCTTGGGCTATAGCACAGAGACTCTAGGCAGAGACAATTAAGATACAGCTCTTGCCCTCAAAACGCTCACAGTTCAAGGGGAGGGACCGAGATGGCACTCCGTGTCAGGGATATCTACAGAGGGTAATGGGATCACAGAGCGCGACGAACGTTGCAGGTGAGGGTGAGGTGGCATCAGTACCGTCCTCACAGGACACGGGAAGCTCAGCCAAGTGGACTCCGTGTCCCAGTTTCTACCTGCTGCTTGGGCATAACTGTCAATAGTGCCTCCTGTCACACCCAAAAGTGGGTGACAGATAATATGGTCACATAGCTCAGCCCTGGAGGAAGAGACATGATGAGGAGAAGGCAAGAGGGGACAAAAGGAGAGGAAGCATCTTAAGATTCACTTTCTCCTGAAAGACTTCCCCAGTGAAGCTTCTCCATCCCTAGTCACTCTTCTGCTCTGCATGTAAAAAGACTCAGTTTTCTTCAGAAATGTGTGCTTCTGAGCTTCCAAGCTACGCACAAGTGGCACATGGCTAAAGCACAAATATACCACGCAGACTAACTTTTCTCTGTCATAAACTGGGCATACATGGCGTGAAGAAACAACAATGTAGCCAATTTGACAGTTTCCTAAAATCCAACCAAGGCCCCCAACTGACCCAAAGGATCTCCTTGGGTCTTCCTAAAGCATAATCATTTCATGTACAAAAGAGATGAAATAGTCATTGCAGTAACAAATACAAACTTTAAAATCCAGGATCAAAATTTAGATTTTTTCCTTTTCCAGTTTATCAGAGCATCCAAGAACCAGAGTCGTGGTCGCAGCCTAACTCTGTCACTCTTTGTGACATCTTGGGCAAGACACCTTTTGCACTTCTGTTTAGCAAATGTCCCTAACCTGCGCCATTGAGAATGTACCTGAATCTCAGTCTTTGGACACATAAACTCTTCAACTTGAGACAGGCTCCCTGGAGACAAGCCTAAGAGCCTCTGCTTTTGAAATATGTTTGCCGTGATTTCCTGATCTGGACCTCATATAGTCCATGTCTCCCCAGGTCGGGCTCCTACTCCGTGGAATTCTAGACAGAGCCTTCATCCCACACCCCAGTGCCCTGTTTACATCAGTCTCCGGCATTGCTGGTCCATGCCAAGGTTCTCCCCCAGTTACCACACTCGGCAAAACACTGTGAGTCAAGTCTTTTTCAAGTGGTGTGGACTTCCCTGGCGCCCACTCTCCGCGTCGTCCACAATCTGGCCATCCGGACTTGAGTCTGTGTGTCTCCACCCTCCTCAGCTTCCTGACTCACGGTCCCACAGATGCGCTGGCGGACTTGAGAGCCACATGAAAATGTCTCCTTTTTGTTTTTCTTAAAAACGTTCATTCCCACAATAATGTTCTCTTCCATTGAACCACAAAGTCTGTACCCAAGATCTTTCTTTTCCCTACCTCCGTTCTCCTCCTTTGGCTTTCAAGGGCCTGCGGGCATTGACTACCGCGTCATCCTCCTTGGGGACTAGCTTCAGTGCCTCTCATTTGTGTCCCCTTCTTGCTTACCCCAACACTGAAAACACTGCGCTGTAATTCATCAACTGGCTACGTCTCACAATCAAATATTTACAATAAGAACAGAGATTTTCATTGGTTTTTGCACCACTGTCTCTCCACCTCCAACAACGTCAAGCACGTACTCTCTTCTTGATAAACATTTGTTGAATAAATATCTACTTGGTAAATATTTGTTGAATGCTTGTTTTATTTTTTTAAATAAACAGTTTAAATATTTATAGCAATAAGTGTCTTTACAGGCATCAAGAACAAGCTTTCTGGTGTGACCTGCCAAATGTAACCCCAAGAGATGGACCAAGCAGATCATCGTCATGTCCCCTTAACTGAAGAGAAACTGGAGGTTCGTGATTTGTATAAGATAATTCAGCTACATTGCAACACCCAGAGGCTAGGCCTCCACCCTCTCGGCTCATTATTCCTCTCCTGAGCATTCTGAGCAGTCTCCGGTGGGATGCTGACTGCTGGGTTATTCTAGTGGAGAGAAAATCACAAGGAAGATCCAGCTACTCCTGGGTATGAGTTCTGCTGGAGGCACACCTTCTGAAACACAAATGAGGACAGCAACACGTAGCAAAGCATCTGGCACTTCAGAAACAACTTCCAAACTCTTATCTGCACGGACATTCTCTCCTGACACAGTCTCTGTGCCCAACCCTTAGAATAAGAAGGATGTTTCGCTTCATAAGAAGGAAAGTATAGGGTGTTTGTTGTCATGTAGAACTAGAGTCAAAACTCAGCTCTTGACAGCTCTGGGATTCTATAACGTACCCTCCCCAAGTCTCGTATTTCACTGAGGTGTTGCACATTTGGAGTCCAATATGGAAAGCCAGTCTCGACCCAAAGTAGTTGTAGTTATGGTAGTTATAGGGGTAGCATTTTATTCAAGAAATATTGGTGGGTAAAGGTTATTAAAATTCAATTTCTATTTCATCCAACTGACCTTGAATCTTACTACAAATTATAAACAATCATACTAGATTTTGATTTCTTCCAAGTCTTCCCTAAAACACACACAGGGATTCGCACATAGAAACACCTTAGCACAAGTAACATCTTCAGCACAGCCAGAGTCTCCAAGAAATAACAAAATCTACGAAACATTCCGGAGTTGAAAAGAATGACAGAGGAGAGCCCTGTCCAGTCGTATTCAGTCTGTACTTTAAAGTTAACAAGAGCTACTAGTGTTTAAGGCATTTTTCTCATCCAAATGAGTTCTTATTGTGTGACAAAGAGCCAAACATACACAGGCGTTAAAATGAGTTTTAATTCCCTTTTTCACAAAGATAATAGTGGATGTCAACCTGACTAAGAAAATATAAAACAGTTTTATAGCAATGTAAATACAGAAAGACTAAGATGAAAATAAACAGTGCAATTATTCTCACAGTGGAGATTATTATACCTGGCTTGTATGCCAGAATTGCTCGCTACGAGAGATTTTAAATTTCCATTTTGTTCATTCATTCTTTCATCGATTCAATGTGCCAAAGAAATGAGTTTTCATTGCACAGTAAGTTTGCCAAGACATTAAGTACGTGTGAGTCAGAAACAACAGCCATGCAATGAAGATGCAGAACCACATCCCCAGGAATTTCAAGGCTTTAGTAAGCAGTTCAGATCACTATCTTTGAAGATCTTACGTTTTTCCTCTTCACTTTAGTAAAGGACTTGATTCTATAACAGTTTAAACATTTATAGCAAAATATTTACAGCAAAATATTGCCTAAGGTTAATTTAATAGACCTTTTTTGGTTACTTCAAATACAACTCCCAGGTTGTTTCACTGCTGTTATGCACCGTTTTCTACATGTGTGTTTTGTATACACGTATGGGTGTTTTTTATGGCCTATGACATTAAGATTAAGATAGTCACATAGGAATGTTACAAATGGAATGTGTACAGCACATAGTTTATTCTGAAAAAAATCAGCTACCTATAGGCGTGTTTAAATATCTGGAATAAAAATAACAGAATTTTATATTCGTATAGAACTTTAGGTCTGAAAAATGCCTAAAAGCCTAAATATATATCCAAAGACATCCAGAGAGGGGAAGCAACTACTCCTAACACACACATGAACTCACACACACAGGGACTCAGAGTCGTGAAGTTCTACTCCAGTGGAGCAGATACGAAGTACTTTAGGCAGGGGACTAGATTTATGACTTGGGAACACCATAATGACCTGAAAGAACTCTGATCAAGAAAATGTCTCTTTGCAGCTGAAGAAATGACTCAGGTAGGATCCTTAAGGAATCAGACAAAGATCGAACCGAAAGACGGAAAGAGACCAGAGAGCAGATGCTGAGGTTCATACATATTCCAAACAAGGAGATGCTTTGCATGCAGCAAGGCAGTGAAATACCATTATTTTTATTTTATGTAATAGTTCTAAAGTCTCTCTTGTGTCATTAAAGGCTAGCCCAATAGGCCGTGAACAGACCACGGTGATGCACTACCAGGATCTCTCCGTAATATTTTCTGTCACTAATGTGAAGTCGTATCTAGGAGACTGTTGGTGATACAGCTGACAGAACCAGACATTTCAGAGAAACCTATTCCCATCCTAGGGTGAACACGCAACAAACACTCATGAGGGTCCCTGCCCAGGACAGTGTATGAGATTTGAGTTTCAGTGATGTAAAATCGTCTTGAAGTAAGACACTTGGGTTCACCTCCAAGCAGAGAATGGGCATCCTTTCTTGGTATAAATCACTAATGATAGGGAGGCCAGCTAAGAAAGCTGACTCACCTAGAAGACGCCTCTTATTTTCACGGTCTGAAGTGTCAGGCTACTGTTTACGCTGAGTCGTGGGAATGGTTTTGCCACACTGCCACCAGCAAACAAAAAGCAGATTCTTTTTCCCCCGGAAGGAAATAGTTTAGTGCCACGAAGAGCCAGAGCTTGAATCAGCAAAAACATGGGAGTCAATTCAAAGTTATCATAATTCCCTGTTTCATCAGTGATTTTTAGAAGAGAAACATCTCCGTATATTTGAAAAGTTCAAATCACGAGCCTCTGCACCCCTGGACCCTGGCAATATTCCAATGTTACTGGTTATAATGACACTTTAGTCCAGTAGAGGTTAGATGGCAAACATTTCAAATCACTTCTAGAGTTCATGAAGGATTTGTGTACCTTCCACCAACCAAGTGCTGTCTTCAAAGCTGCGTTCATCCAATTACATGTCAAAGAGTCTGTGTGTTCTACGATCAAAGACAGAAGGGGGACGGGGGGAGTGGGCGATCAGAAAGGGAAGAAGAAAGAAGATGAAGATCTTTCTAAAGAGGGAAAATAAGTAAATAAAATCTTCTACCGGTTTCCTTAACCTTTACTTAATCAGATTGGAAACAGCACATGTGATAAACAGAACCATGTGTAAGCTAATAACTCAAGGACCGCTCTCGGGAGAAATGGACTCTGTGCCTCTTTACTGCGTGCCGGGCTGCCGTGCTCGAGACCTGTTTACTCTTTAATGCACTTTCCGTCCTTCCCTTGCTGTTACGAGAGACTACCCCATCTACTGTAATAAATTGCACCGGAGCACTTCCCCCCTTTTCCAATTTCTTCTAATTTTCTGGAATTTCAAAACCAGATAAAAGAGCTTGTGGGGTACAGCCATTATCATCTCGAATTATTACTTCCGCCCACTGCCATATGACTTACAGGGCCATGTCCCTGTCCAAAGGACAGAGTTCTCTACTCCATTGTTTTCGTGTACCCTGCTTGTGCCAGTGAGCTGTGAAGTGAACAAATGCCTGATAAAAGCCGAAGCCTTGAGACCCATCCCACAGTTCCACTATTGCCCCTTCCCTCTGCAGGTTCCAGCCAAGGGCTGCTCCTCCTGCCCGGAGCCCAGAATAATGAGCACCCCTGAGGCAGAACCGCACACAGCCTATTGCCGTCAGCACGCTGAAACGCGAGCAAAACATGCACCTTTCTTGGTACAAACCACTGAAGTACTTTGCTATCACAAGCTTGTAAAAGTTGACTAATCCACACAGTATCACTGCACATAAAATCAGAGAATAAGTTAATAAGCTAAGGCGCAAGATGGTCTTTGAGTGAACAGCGAGTTCTGATTCAGTTCCTTCCGTCCATCTCTCCCTGCACAGCACACATGCTGACTCTCCGTGTGACTGAGCTACGGGGTAGGTACCAGCTGCTATTATTTATAATTGTGACTTGTAGTCCCTTCATAGAAGTACCCATCCGCACCTTAATGTGTGACCCGTCAGCTACACAACTGGATGTTTGTTTTCCAAAGGGCTTAAAAGTGACTAGGAAAACAATTGGAATGGAATGTGTCTATTGCACAACCGGCATCTGTGTACATAGAATAAACCAATACACTTTGCCAGATGTATATTGAAATCACTTTTGCAATCCAAAATCTGAATTTTAAAAAATATTGTGCTTACACTACGAAGTAAATAAGTCTCTTCATAACCAAAAAAAACAAAATGTTTCTGATGGCTTTCTCCACCAACCCCTTACCTTCTGTAGACCCTTTTACATGAAGGCGCTTGTTGAGTTCATCCAATTTGTTCTTCATGTTCGAGAACCAGAAAAAGAAAGAGAAAAGAAAACGAATTAGAAATGTCCTTCTTTCCTGTACCCTTGTCTCCACTTAGTAGCCTGCTAAATTCAAAACAAGATCCTAAACGCCATCAATATTGTAAACTCTGTAGAGGAATCACTGTTTTATCTCAAACTGACATCCACTTCCTAGTGGTTCCTGGTTCTTTAATCTTTCCATGACTTCGTTTCCTTTTCTGAAAACCGAGTAATCATGGTGCCAACCTCTCATGCTGGTAATGATGATTATTTGGGCATATATATGTAAATTAATTAGAACAGTGCCTCAACATTTCAGGGTAATCTCCAGGTACATTAAAGTGATTTCTAAATGAATTTATGGAATAACTTTTTCTAAAATTGAAAAGGTAATGACTCAGCAATTCTTAAAAGTAATGACTCAGCAACCACTGTATATCCTGGAGACATATCTAGAATATGTATACAAGAAGACATCTGCACCCCTTGGCTGGTGTGGCTCAGTGGATTAAGTGTCAGCCTGCAAAACAAATAGTTGCCAGTTCACTTCCCAGTCAGGGTACATGCCTGGGTTGTGGGCCAGGTCCCCAGTGGGGGTGTGTGAGAGGCAACCACACATTGATGTTTTTCTACCTCTCTTTCTCTCTCACTTCTCCTCTCTAGAGAAATAAATAAATAAAATCTTTTTAAAAAGAAGACATTTGCAATAATGTTTATTGTAGCAGTGTTGGAGGAGCTAACAACTGGAAATTACCAAATGCTCTTAAATGAGAGAATGAATAAAATGACTATGATATATTTTTTCAATTAAATACTAACTATTGAAAGTAAAAGTGGGTGAGCTAAAACTCTATGTATTAACATGCATAAATCTCAAAAAAACACGATGATGAACAATATGAGTTCAGGACACATTTAATTTAAAAATTAATAGCACATAAAAATCATAATACGCAAAGCTATACTATAGGTTATTTGGGGGAACTATACTAAAGGTTAATTAATACATCAGTTAAGACATGCAGGTGTCTAGGATAGAAGTCCAGAGCCCCCATGAGAAGTGTACACTGTATTCAGGATACGAGTTCCTCAGGAATAGGGAGGAAGAAGCGCAATGGCGGGCAGGAAGGTATTCTCGGAGTTTCCACGGAATCTCTTAAGTTTTCTTTCTCGTGATGTGTGTTTTGAGGCAGTCGTTTTATTAATCCCTGTACTTTTTTGTTATGTGTGGGGGGGAGTGTTTTGCTTGTTGGTTTGGTTTTTGTGTTCCTTTTTAAGAAAAGGAAGGTAGTCTTTTGGAGAAACCCATAGACAAAATAAAGACAATCCATCATTCCTCTAACATATCCACAGTGTTTCTTGTTCTCTAGAAGAACGATAATTCAGAAAACAAGATACAACTAATAGATTCCTCTAACACTATCTTTGGAATCCACTTCGAAAACCACTTCCTGTTGACTTTGGCAAAGCAAATTCTCCAGCTGAGGTCTGAGAGTAATTACCCTCATTGGCCCTAGACAGGAGCAAAAGTAAGAAGGACAAGAAAGGGAGGTGGGGATGAAGGGCAAACTGAGTTCCTCTGGTGGTGAGCTTCCCAAACCGTGGTTCCCAGGCCCCTAATAATTCTGGAAGGTAGCAATGATAGGGAATAGGGATGGGACACTAGAAGAACTATTTTACATTTCTTAAAGGTATAATAGAACAATCACAGCTTTACCCATAATAAAACCACACATGCACAAATAATCTATTTCTTTGCTTTGTGTTGGAATCATACCAACTCAGTGTGGTAATCCCATTATTTCTTGTGGTCAGAAGCACTGATTGGCAACTATAAAGGTCTTTGATGAACAAATTATTGCTTAACACAAGTAGTTTGTTTGGAATTCAAAACTGCGCAAACAGAATGTGCCGAGTAGCCCCTGTGTGCACCACCCCCACCCCCACCCGTGCCATACCCTTCCCTACTCACTCTGGGCCCTGAGCAACTGACCTCTCAGAACAGCATCAAAATAAGCAAAACCACAAGCTTGCCCTCGGGCTTCCTGTGGGGTTTCACCAATAGGAGGCACCAGCAGGAAATGAAAGGAAAGACAACAGGGGTGTGTACTCCTCCAGCTTCCTCCCAAAAGGTGATGGGGTATTGGCTGGACCTATCTACCACATTGCACAGGTCCTTCCTACATACCTCTCCATTTTCTCATAACCGCTCCCTCCCGCTATTGTTTGGGCTCAGGACCGGCCCCTGTGTAGCCCCATGGTGCACCACCACCCCTCCGTGACATCCTCCTACCCTGCTCAGCCTGTATTGATAGTCCTCTCATTAAACATGACAGAAACGGTCCCTTTAAACTCTCTTTAAAAACCCCTCCTGCATGGACCATCTGTTTCCTATTGGGACCCTGACTGATGAACACACGATCCAGGCTGAAAAGAAGAAAGTCTTTGGTTAGGAATTCTGAACGCACAAAAAACATCACAAATTCTGCTTTCTGCCCATCCATTTCTACACCTGCGCTATCCACCGTGGTAGCCACAAGCCACAGACGGCTCTTTCAACATAAATGATGACATTAGACGAAATTAAAAACTCAATTCCGAGTGCTCAAAAGCCACATCTGGCCAGTGGTTACCATTCTGAACGGCACAGATACCGACCACTTACACAGATCACAGGAAGTTCCAGGGGGCGGCACCGCTTTATGCCCAACAACCTCCTCCAGGAAAAACGTAAAGATTCTTTTTACCTTTGGCTCTACCTTATCATCACAGGTGCAGCCCAGGTCGAAATCAGACTGCAGGTACATGATCCCTGGGTAACTGGGCCTGGTGACTTCCTCCGGCATGGTGGGCCTGAAGGTGTTCGTACGCAGCAGGTGATTCAGACTTCCGTGCGTCCCATTGTTAGGAGCTGGCTTCAATCCCAGGAGATCTGATGAGAAGAAAAAGATGCTACGTGGTTCATAAATATTTTTTGATAAGACTATGTTGAGAGCCAAAACCATTCACCTTCTAAGGGTCTGAAAACTCTGAACACAACCGAGAACCGGATAAAACCAACTTCAGAGAGGAGGCACGCCCTTCTCACTCCCTGAAGCATTCTAGCCTGACCACGTCTCACCACGGCTTTCGGAAGCAGCGCGGGCATTGCTTGCTCATGGAGAGAGACAGACCCACAGAGAAAAAAAGGAAGGGACCCAAAGGCTATCGGTGTCATGCCTTTCTGCACCTCTGTGAAACTGTGGAACCCAAACTTTGAAATGAGCCTTATAGTCAATAAATAACCTCTGGCCTGCCCTCCAATGCACTCCGCAGAAATATGGGGACAAGAGCAGGCTTTGGCCCTGTGCCTCGAGGTGCCGCTGTGAAATGAACAGGCTGATTTCATAGCCAGTGAACGGTTGCCAAGCAGGCGCACAGTGCCTTGCCTAAGCCGAGAGGCAGGGCAGGGGAGAGCTAGCAGCCAAGATGGGCAAAGAACCCAGGAGACCCGACTTTCAGACTCCCCCTCTAACCACCAGACTGGCACTCCCTGACTAAATAGGAAAAGTTGTCCTCATTCAGCAACGAGAAGTTCAAGGAAGAAAAATAATTAGGAGCACATAAATAGCTGGCCAGGATGCAAGCTGGCAACATTTGAACAGGACTGCAAGACGAGAGATGGAGGTGGGAGAAAGCTCTGTGCCGAACTCTTGCTTCACCGGGTCTCTGACCGGTGGTGTCAAACTGCAGTGCTATATTGGATCAGCCCAAGGCTGCCAACAGCAACACTGTGAAAACTCCTCATTAGTCAACTGGTGGAGGAAGACAAAGAATCCATAGAAGGGAATGATATTCTGTTCTTCGAACCGATCGGCAAGTTACAATATTTTTTTTTGCAGGGGGATGAGGTGGTCCCAGAAAAAAGACACCTCATTTCTTTCTCTGACATGGAGGAAGTTCCTTTGTTTGTTAAGTCAAGATTGGTGCTTCGTTGGTGTTGACTAATAAGTGACTTACCGCACATAACATTGTAAAGTTCGATGTTTTCAAATGGAGGCACCTTGGTCTTGTACTTAAATGTCGGGCCATAACCTACGAAAACAGTCTTCCAAAGATAAGAAAACATAAATGATTAGACATTGCTGATATTCTGTACGTCCTTTCCCCTGTTTATGAAGACCGTGTAACTCCACTCACACCACCACCGCCCACCCCTCCTGGGATCCACGAAAACACGTTCTCAGCCCCCATACCTGCATGCTGTTGACCTTGTTATCAAATCCATGGTCTCCCTGGAAGAAACATTTTCCCGATGGTTTCTTATAAACATCCAAAGGTTTCCTACATCGAAACAATTGCATAATCAGTCAGGATTTCACATGATATCACTGTGATAAAGAGCCAATTTCAATGCTCGAAGAATCTCTAAGAAGAAGTTTCACAAGTGTATTTATTTCTATTTTAATTGCATCAGTCCTGTGGGCATGAAAAGATGATGCTGTTCATGTCTCCCAAGTGCCTTTGCTTTGACCATGAGCCCAGGGCAAATGAGGGCCTCTGAACAGAAGCCACGGTGCCCTCCTTGTACCTCGTGCCTGCGTAAAGAAAAGCACCAATAGTAGGCGATGTCCTGTCTGCCCGTGAGCTTCAGCTCCGAGATCATTAGGTTCTCCACTCTAGGGCCGCATTCACGAGTTCATTTCTATATACACTCCCTAGGCTCAATGTCAAACCCATAGTAGGCACTTTTTAAACACACGATGTTTAGTCAATGAATGGAGATCTGTGTTCTATAAAAATGTTGCCTACAACTTTACCTATGATATGAAACAACTGAAGATTATAGCTGAGTGGTAAGCTTAACAGAAACACTGACATATCTAACAAAAGCCCAGCCTCCCCCAGATCATTATCTCAATAAGAAATAGAAAATAGCGACCTCTCTCTACACATCAATACCACTTGACTTTCTCTGTGACAAGAAGATGCCTTTTGTTGAAGTGTTACATAGCACTTTTCCAAAAACTTTCATGTTATTAATACAAATATTTCCTAAGTACCTATAGTGTACATCGCACAGAAGTAAAGTGCTTAGGGAAAGATAAAGAAATTAATCATTAGGATCCTCACCCTTAGGAAAAGTAATTTCAGCTTGAGTGAATAAAATACGCACATATAATAATCCAACCACGCAGCAGTTTAAAAGGTTTACTGCTAATTAAAATCTCTGGCTTTGGTCTATGCTAATTTGCTCGACTATCATCATCCTGCATTTCGCTTCCACCCCACAACCAGGCTTACTTCACCCGAACCTGCCAGCTGCACCAAATACGCGTTCTCACACAGCAGTGTGCCTGCAGAGGACACCCTTGACCAAGCCGTCTGGTCACATCTCTGTGACTTTTCCATGAAGACTCCCCATGTCCGTTCTGAGGGATTTCAATAACTTCTGGCCTTCCCACACCTCAGTCCCTAACCCTACCACATCTGACACTGTGTGCCTCCGACAACAGCAGGACATTTAGACGTTTGTCGTGCATCTCTCCATATGCTCTGTACTGACACAAGTTCCTAGAGCATGGATGTTTTCTCATCATTTTCTCTCCCTGGAAAACTCATTAAAGGACCAGCTACAGTACGTATAGAAGCTGTTTGGTTATCATTACATGCGAATGCTCAACATTTCCTTAAGGAGGAAGTCAGAATAAGAGCAAGTGGGTGCTGGGGGGAGGGGGTATAAGGGGACTAAATGGTAATGGAAAAAATACAATAAAGATTACATTTTTAAGGAGAGTGAGTGGGAAGGGGCTACTGCCAAGACTGGGTGAAAATGGATAAACTTAAAAAATGATCAACTTTTTGGAAGTGATTAGAGCTTCCAGAGGACACATTCTACCAAAAATTCAAGAGCAAGAAACAGCCTCTTTGATTCTGGAGTCTTTTTGTAGTTCAAGAAAAGATGAACGGTGATATTTAATGCCACATAAAGCATGCCCACAGTAACAGAGGTGTTCATCTTGAACAACGTTTTCTCAACTCCCCTATAAACACGGCTACAGGCTAAGTCTTGTTAACTGAGACCAAAGCAGTTTGGGGTGGTAGAGCAGTGTCCCCGTCACACGTCAGACTTACTCAAGTAAGAAGAACAGAGGCTAGGATGCAAATTCAAAAACTGAATAGGAGAGGGACCCAGAGAGACACCGAGATGCCGAGATGCAGGAAATAGAAATGTATTGTCTCAGCGCTAACTGTGTATCTAACCTACAAAACCTTCAGGAACAGTGAGATTTCCAACCAAGATTCCTTCTTACGACAGCTGAGGACCTTGTAGACCTGCCAGGTGCTGGAGAGCTGGATCTGAAGATGAGAAACAGGGCCAGCCAACCCCAAGTTACCTTGCAACATGCCACCTGCGTTCCACCAACAAATGGATGTCCTCGATTCTTCTGTTGTTGGCATAGTGCAAGCGCTTGGGAAGGTGCTGTTTCATGTAAGGCTTAAAGTGCTGATCTGGTTTTTTACACTGAAATATAAATGGGAATTGGACTTCAGATGGAGTGTCTTCCAGGGAAAAAAAAAAAAGCTTTGATAGTCTCTAGAAAGCTGAAGGAAGTTTTAAGCCAAAGAAAAAGTTGTTAGTGAGTAAATGGAATTTGTTACCCCTCTATCAAACAGGTTCAAAGAGGATTAGATAACTTTGGAGATGGGAGGTCAGCGGAGGGGAGTAAGGAATTTTTAAGATAAATTCCTGACTCATGTGACCATCACTTGGAGCCATTCAGGCCCCGAGGTCTTTCCCAACAGCTTTGAGTCAAGGGGTGGGACGGAGGAAGGAAAGGGAGGAGCACCCTTGTTTGGGCTGCAGTGATTACATCCTCGTGTGCTTTTAAGGTCTTTGTCCTGGGTGGGGGAGTGACGGAGCAGGGTGGTGGGCAGATCTGGCTCAGAGAGAGTAAGGATTTGTTTAATCTTGCACGAATACTTTTCAGTACTAACGGAAAGATCAAATACGGTCAGTTTGTATCCCTGCCAAGACCATTAGGGAGCTTGCAGCTGTCTCCAGGCCAGGAGTTTTGAAAGCTCTCAGGGGAACAAACATGCAGGATGCAGGGCAATGGGGAAATCACTCCTCCCGCCCCGCCCCACGGGGGTGGTGAACGCGGGAGGTGAGCGAGTGGAAGCTGCCCCAAGGGCAGAGGCCTGGTGGCTTGCGGTACTCACCGTGAGATTAGCAATGATGGCTTTAGGGTCATCTGTCCAAAGAGAGGAGAGAAATCTCAAAAGACATGACAATAATCAATGAAAGAAATCATTTTTTGCAGCAAGAGACTCCATTTTTCCTAGTCCCTCTCAGAAGGGCCATTACATTAGTTTTGTTTAAAATGTCTTTAAATTGTGTGTGGGCACTTCCTATTTCAGTAAGGGAAAAGCAGTTAAATAAATGAGTGGAACAATTCATACAGTAAATATCCCTGCTGAGACTCAGTCTCCTCTGCTGAGAGGGAACCCCTCCTTCCAGAGCACCACCAACCGCTGTCCGAATTGCTTCGTTCAGTTGCGTCAAAGGGTCCAACGTGGTCCCTCTGGAGGCTGGATTTAGTTTATTCGCAGTTTAACATCAGGAACTAAACTGGGCATTTGGGGCTTTTCGTGTGACTTCCTCTTTATCTGTAGATCTTTAAACAAGTTCTCATCCACTTCAGAATGAATGCCTGATCCATCGAGTTACATCTTCTGAAGGCGGTGTTGTTTCCCTGGTAATATCACTGGTCTAATTACATAGGTAGCTGCCCCTTCCAGCCACAGACACGCACATGCACGCACCTCCTCTATTTTCACTACCAGCAAACAAAGGATATTTTAGTCAATGCCCCGAACTAGCTAAAAGCAAAACTATGTAAATGATGGCTGTGTATAAACTGCTGACAGGATTATATTATCTGAAGGTCCCCTTTGGGGGGACGTGGGGAGAAAGAGGAGATTGTAGGTTGGTTGGACTTTGTTTTGTTTTCAAAAAATTTGCTTTAGTATGTTATTATAGAATCAGCAGAAAAGGACAGTGGAGTTCAGGAGAGATACCAACTGTCACGACGCAGCCCTCCCTAGAACAGAAGCACCGGTGAAACGGGTCACGCCTGTGTCATTTCCTGCCAGATCCCAGGGCCTGTGCATAGTAGGCACTCACTCAGTAAACATTTGTTAATAAGGATAAAAAAATATTTGTTGCAAATGCACGAATAAGCTTGCCTTGTGGTATGAACACCCACAACTCAAGCACCATTTTTAGAATCTTAGTTCTAAAGCTATGAAATCCAAAGCTAAAATGTGGCTATGCTACCTACATTGCAGTTGAATTTTACTTGCATATTCTTATGGAAAGCAAATGAGTACGGTTTCATGCCGCGTAACAGGGTTTCCGTCAACGATGGACCGCATCTACGGCAGTGGTACTGTGCGTAGCCTGGGTGTGCGGGGGGCTAAGCCATCGAGGCCTGTGTGAGTGCACTCCGTGATGCCTGCACAATGGTGAAACCACCTAACAGTGCAGTCCTCAGACTGTCTCCCTGCTGTGAAGCTGCGCGTGACTGTGACCACGGGAGTAATAATGGTTTACCCCGACTGTGTCCCCACCATGTGCGCTCCATCTGTCAGAGCTTTGCAGGCACTTTGTCTCTGGTTGTTCGCAACAACCCTGGGAGACAGGTGCTGGAATCCTCACGCAGTCGATGGGTATTTAGGAGGTGGGGGCGCTGACGCACAGGGACCCTCATACGGACTGAGCAAGCTATGCTTTGAACCTCTTCACTCTGTGGCCTCCTAAACCACTGTCCTCAACGGGACGGGAGAAAGTTCATGTTCCTCGATCATGAAGGAAAACAAAGAGCATGGAAGTACCAAATGCCTGAGGCTGTGTTTCGGACCCCAATCCACCAGTTCTGGAGTACGGGGTCCTCGCCTGCTAACAGCTCTCACGGCCTGTGAGCGGAAGAGGCCCCCAGCACAGGAGTGGTTACGAGTCAGAGAATCTGGGTTTAAATCTTGGCTCCACCACTGACTAGCTGTCCTACTTGGAGCCAGTTTCTTCACCTCCTTCTGAGCCTTGACCTCTACTGTCTGGACAAGGCAATGGCAGGGGCCACACAGGGCCATGAGGAGGATGAAATAAGATGGTGCATGCGCCTAGCTACAACGGGGGTGACGCCAGGACATCATCGTCATAGCTAGCATTCACCTGGCGGTACTACGTGCTACCCACTAATCTAAGGGATAGGTATCTCTCATTTACTCTTCCCAACAATCCTTATTGGATAGACGAGGAAACTGAGGCAGAGAGTGTGGAAGCAGCTTTGCCCGGGGTCACCGTGAGCACCTGGCGGATCGGGGATTTCAGTCCAGACATCCCGTCACCACCGTCTGCGCGCACAGACGTCTCTCACAACATGAAGTCACATACACAAATAATCACATAACGATTTGGTAGTTATTACTTCTTCCCCCCAAAACAACCTCCCCATTGCTTTGACTGTGGTCCGAGGTACCTTTCAAAACAGATACGAGCTGTCTTGCCTGAGTCCCAAAATGCAAATACTAACTCAAGAAGGAGCTCGGTGACTTGCACCCTTTCTCTGAAAAGGGCCTGCCTGTCTCAAGTGATCGGAGAAGGGGGGATGTGGGGGACAGAAAGGACATAAAAAAAGGGAAGGCAGAAACACTGGTGTTTTGATTTCACAATGTTGCCTGGAGCTGACCTTGGAACGCCTCCCATTCGTGTTGACTCAGGCATGAAGTTTGGGAAAAACTTAACTTCCCAAAGCTTGATGCTTGATGCCAGTGGTTTCTTATTCTCAAGGCTAAAACCTCTAAAGGCATTTTTTTTTCAAAATGCAGCACGTCTCCAACAAAGCTCAGGGCTTCTCAAACAGCTAGATGGGCAGACCCTACAATATCTTAGTCCATAAATTTAAGTTCTTGTCAGTGGCATCTCAGAGCCTGAATGTGTAGAACTAAAGTGATAAGATTATTCTTGTTTCTAATGTTTTGAAGCAGCTACCACTTCCCAAGAGCTTGCTCATTTCTCCTCCTGGGTGCTGTCAATCACTTTTAAGATGAAGAGTCTCGGCCTGGCTGGCGTAGCTCAGTGGATTGAGCACAGGCTGTGAACCAAAGTGTTGCAGGTTCGATTCCTAGTCAGGGCACATGCCTGGGTTGCAGGCCACGGCCCCCAGCAACCCCACATTGATGTTTCTCTCTCTCTCTCTTTCTCCCTCCCTTCCCGCTCTAAAAATAAATAAATAAAATCTTTAAAAAAATAAAAAAAAAGATGAAGAGTCTCCTTCAACCAGACTTGGGGGAATGTTTAGGGCCCGAATGTGGTTTGCTAACCCCAGCATGAACTCCTGAGCTTCAGCTAAAGAGCGAGGCTCAACCTCTTGCTGAAAAGTCCTTCTCTTGTAAACGGAAGTTATGGTTTTATACACATGCCTCAAGTGGAGTATATTTTCTCCACGATAAAAACAAGCACAAATATTTATATAATGCTTCCACGTTCCAGGAACCACTCTAAGTAATATACAATGATTCATTTTCACAACAACCATACGCAGTACCTGTTACTATCAATCCCATTGTTCAGAGTGCAAAACTGAGGCTTAGAGTTTAAATGGCTGACCCATGGTCACTCAGCTAAGGAGCTGCGGAACTGGGATTTTTACCCAAGCATTCAGAGAAGCAGCAGAGTACACACCTGTCCCTACTCGAGAATATTACCACTGTAACAACGTAGTGTTTTAAGAATCGACTTACATTTAGCATTATTAGGTTTGGATCGAATTCTTCCTAGAGCTCCAGGCACTAAAATGATGTCGTCCACGTTCGTCAGGTAATTGCTCAAAAACTCAGTTCTCTCACATGTGACATCTTCCATTCCTGCAGGTAGGGGAGAAAAAAGGATTTTCAGAGGACCTTAACATTAAAATTTTAACCCAGCCCCTAAAGATAATATCCAGGCATCTCTTCGATTGGTTTTTAACAGCTTCGTGCAAGGATGTCTCTCTTTTGAGATTTCTTAGTTTGACATTACATTTTTTTTGATGCTTCTCTAAATGATCTTTTCACCAGACTTGGATTTAATATCATCTTGCAGCCCTAGAAGATTAAAAAGGCATCCTCTCTATTATCATTGTGTCCTTCAGCAAGAACATCAAGACAAAGGAAGTAACCACAATCTTTTTTTTTAATCTGTTTTCACAGTAATTATGAAAAAGATCTATTTTTTTCCCAGCTGGGGGTGGTCAAATAACTGGAATACATAGTTCCCTGTCTCTCTTACAAAATGGCATTTCCCTAGCTCTCTCTCTCTCTCTAATACATCTCCTGACTTGAGCACATAATCACCAGTCCTCACTCCGGCTCCACTGGTGGCCTTGGATGTTACTGACAACACAATACTGGCAGCAAGAGACGAGAAAGAAAAATGTCAGCCCCTGTGACCACCCAAACTGAAGAACAAAATAGCACTGAAAACAAGCTGTAAACAATGTAATCAGTCAAAACTGAAAGCTGGCAACTTAACGACCAAAAAAAAAAAAAAAAGAATCTAGGTAGGGGATTTTTTCAACCAACAAATCTCCCTCCTGCTCCAAGATTTGGTTCCATCTTGATCAATGTTTCAAATAAATAAATAAAAGCAAAAACAAACTCAAGTCTTACAGTCGTAGGCCCTGGAGGCTGGTAGGGACCTTTATTATCATTTCAGAATTTATGAGCCGACGTGGAGCCCTGAAGGTTTAATGTATTGCTGTGCACAGTCCAATAGGTGCACATTCTCTAAGAGGGGAAAGTAAGGGATTCTATAAAGTACATTCTAAGGTTTTGGAATAAAACATTATAGCCCAGAGTGACCTGGATCTGCTAAAATTCAAACAGTCACCTTCTGGGATCCCATTTCCAGGCCCTTTCGTTTTTATAAACATATTGAAATGAAGAGAGAAGAAAACATAAACATATCCCAACACAGTACAAGGGTTCTATATTTTGCTTTTTCACATTTTTAAACATTCAGGAAGAAAAATACCAACAATAAACAGCTACTCTGTTCTTGTCCAATGTTAACCCAGGATGGGGAAGTTTACAAACACGTATTAAGAGAAGACTGGAAGGCTCTTCCATTTGTTCCACTTCCAGGAAGTCACTTACGCCGACCTTACAGCGAGCCAGCGCTCTTGCTTTCGAAGACCACAGGTGAAGTACTCCTGAAGCATCATCACCCTTCACCCTCCAGAGCAATTCCATGGAGGAGGCGTTAGTGCTCTCAATCTACAGATGAGAAGGCCGAGACTTGGAGAGGTCACCTAACGTACGCCACGTCCAGTGGTTCTTAAGTGGTGCAGTGCAACGTGAACTCCAGTGGAACTCACTCAAGCCCAGGCTCTGAAACACTAGACCACACTGCCTTTTTAAGTAAGAGATGCTATGGCATCCCAAAACCAGAGCAACCTACTCATCTCAGAAGCCTACACACTGGCAAGACAAGGTGTTAATAGATCCGAGATTTACAATGCTCCAGCATGTAACTCATTGAGACCCATCTACTTCTTAGACATCTGGCCCCAAAATGTAACTAAAAGCGCTTGATACTTCTGGGCAACTTCAATGGAATCAATTGTGTACCATGCTCCAGTCTCTGTCCTATCTGAAGCTCTTCAAACTTGTGGAGTATGATTTTGCAGAGGGTCACACTTAGTCCCTACAAAAGATCAAGTCAGTCCCACAACATTTTTTTAACCTTCTCAAAGATCATTTGGAACATTCTGGAAAGAAAACTTCAGGCCCAGAGCAGAGCTTTGACATGGGAAATTTGCCTGTCATTCATTTTTAACAGAACTACCAAAGAGTCAACCAATGTTCCTCCTCCAAACGCCCTCCTAGAGGAGAGCAGACCCATATTCCAGGATCGCTATTTCCGTTGGAAGGTTCTGGAATGCAGGAGGCACTCTGCAGAGCTCAGTCGGAGCACTTGTGAAATCAGAATGCTCTCTGAAGACCCCCTCTGGCCAGCCCTATCATCATATAATGTTTATGACATTCTTTTTTTTAAGATTTTATTTATTTATTTTTAGAGAGGGAAGGGAGGGAGAAAGAGAGAGAGAGAGAAACATCAATGTGTGGTTGCTGGGGGCCATGGCCTGCAACCCAGGCATGTGACCTGACTGGGAATCAAACCTGCGATGCTTTGGTTCGCAGCCCAAGCTCAATCCACTGAGCTACACCAGCCAGGGCATGTTTATGACATTCTTGATCACCTCAAGAACGGGCCCGTGCATTTTTCTACTCTGTACAGTGATTTAGAAAACCTGCGTCCTAAACTGCTTCTTCCTCCCTCTCAACTGTCTTCTCTACTAAACTAAAGCAGGGTCCTCTGGTTGTTGTCTTGAATTCCTTCTGTGGGTGCAGGGGCATAGTTCTACTCATGTGCCCCCCATCACCCCACTTCTTTGACACGAAGAATCCTATGTCTCTGCCTCCTTATCATGTTTAGATTTCTTTTTTAGTCTCATAAACCCTGTGGGCTCCTTTCAGGGATGTGGCTATCAGGAATGAGGTCTTATCATCTAATAACTCACATTCACAGAGGAAGCTATTCATAGAACAAGCAAATCATCTGCCACATGTTAATAAGAGATGGATTTCTGTAGGAAGCCTTTTCCTACAAAGACTAGGAAGATACAGGAAGTCCCTGGTTTTTGGTCAAAATGAACTCAGGGTCACTCCAGGTCATCTCATAGTGTGTAGTCATGGCTTGGTACCTTTCCCCATCTGGAAAAACAGAGACAGAGGTGAAGAACCCCACCTGGGATTCTCAGGGAAGAGGTGCCTCCCTTTCCACAGAACCGTCAGAAACGGTCTCTGGGCATCTCTCCGATCGTTAGCAAAGAAGAAACAAAGCTTTACCATGGTCCCCAACAAAGATGACGTTTACACAGCGATGCAGCTTCAGCTGTTTCAGTCCGTCCATTAATTGCCCCACTGTTTTGTCAATTTCCCTCAGAGGATTTGTCATCTGGAAAAAGAAGCAAATTAGTCCCTGCCAGTTTTTTTTTTCCTTTCAGTTTCTCATAGATCTTCTCCTCCTAGAACATTCTGGAAAGAAAACTTCAGGCCGAGAGGCAGAGCTTTGTCTAGGGAGATTTGCCTGCCATTCTTAATGGAAATCTAAGATAAGCACATTTATTTGTATTCTTCCAGAAGGATAAAATCTTCCTCCTCCAACTCCTTTCAAGATACTTTGATATAAAATATAAAAGAAATATTAAAAGCAATTCTTCTCTTTTTTTGGAGATAAAATGGCCTTTCTAAAATGTAACAATGTCCTTTAAACCCCAAAATTTTGAGAGCAGAAAGTCAGATGGATTGTTTAAGTCTGTTGTTCCCTAAGTGAAGTCACACTAGGCTTTGAATCACAGCAAGAAGATTTAGGCTTTGAACCACAGCAAGAAAATGGAGGCTCAGTGAATCAAAAACAAATTCTGAGCTTAAAAGTGACCTTCACTGGATGCTAAATGAGAACACCGCGAACACAATGCAATCCCTCTGATGTTCCAAGTACCTGTCAATGGCTGGGAATGACAGACTCTTAATAGAAGAACCTCTTCTGAGAAAAAAGCTACTGCCTCTCCATTGAGTCCCTTTGAAGCTGACTTCAAGGAAAATGAGAATCTCTAAGAGTCCTAACAAACAGAAGCGAACCACTAATCTTGATCTAGAAGATTTCTTATTCCGTTTAACAAAAACAACACCAAACCAAAACTTAGTTCTCTGAAGAAAACATTGCCAAAGCCCAAGAAGCATAACCCATCTCTTATTTGCTTGTTTCAAATGGAAGCGTCTAACAGCACAAATGCTTTCGCATAGTAGGGACCCACCCTTCACTTCATCTCTGTAGTGGAAAGATTTTTAAGAAATATCTCATCAGACAAAGACTTGACAGTACTTGGGAGGAATTTCACAATTCAGCTACAATTGCATACATGCACCCAAGATGACTGAGACGAGAACAGAAGGGATCTACATATTGTTTTTCGTCCAGACACATGATATTAGCTCCCATTAGCATCTTCTCAGATGACTTAAGACCTTCCCTCATATCGTGTCATCAGTAAAGTCCGTGGTAAGCTTGATTTTCTTCGGGGTGGAAGTCAGTATTTCAAATTCTGTCCCAAGGAAGAAGTCCCAAGTGCCAGTTTCAGAAAGGTGCATGCAGTGTAATCTGAAGGGAGTAACAGGTGGGGGACTAAGTGGTATTTGCTCCTGGAAAACCTTGCTCCTGGTCTCCTCTAAGACCTTTGACAGGATGAAGAAATACTGAACACCCAACACAGATCAACCCTTGACAATGACTTACTTTCCTTCACTAAACAAGAAAACGTAGCTAAAATCCTGAGCTCACCACTTAGTAGTCAGTTCAGACCATCATGAATGAGGTAGTGCCTGGGAGGTATCTGAAGGTTCTGAGGATAGTAACCTGCAGGTTATGAATGTACTGCGAAGACTAGGCATTACTCATTATCTCTATGGGTAACACACACACACACAACTCGATCAGCCCACTACTTCCTCTTTCTATAACCCAAAGTCCTTTTCAGAATTCTGAAGTTACAGACCACAAATCCAAGCCAATTTTCTATTGAGCTCTAGTCTACATTTTCTCTGAGGATTCCCCCCGCTACCTTTGCTGGGTTGTTTTCAAGAACCAAACCAACCATTGTAACAAATTCTGTGACTAAGGAGAAACAAAGCCAGGAATGGCCTTCTTAACATTCACTCAAGCCTGAATACCAGTTTGGGGGCAAATAACCCTAAAGAAAGGAGAAGGCTCTTGTTCTCCTGCCTTACTGAAAGTTCAGGAGGTCTTCAAATCGGTGTTAACCTCTGCAGTACCAGCTTCTTCTGGACTCAAAGCCAAGGAAGATGCGCCAGAGTTTTTCTGAAACGTGTTTAGCTGACTTTCAAGCCAAGACACTGAAGGAAAGCTTCAACTCAGACCTGCCCACCACAAAGCTTTGGAACAATAGATAAACTTACTTTGTCCTGACGAGTTTCCACGGCATAATGATCCATCCTATGTAATTTTCTTCTTCTTTTCTTTGGAGGAGCAACTGGTTTTTCCTGTCTCCTCTTAGGGGCAACCTTCCTCTTAGGTCTCTTAGCCGGAGTAAGAGGTGAGCCATAACTACTCTCCTGTACTGGCGGATAGAGATGTCTGGACTCAGAAGTCGTCTGTCCCTCTGGGTCAGATAATAAAGCTCACACTTTGCCATCTGGGGTCAGCAGAATCTCAGTTAGAGAAACTAAGACTCCTTAAGTGAGAAAAAGTTGGCATGAGGGCTTATTCAGGGGTCTCTATAGCGAGAAACCCCCAAAATGGATCTTGCTGCTGCTGTCACAGCCTCCTCACTGAGAACAGGAATATAATTGCAGAGAATTGAGTCACGTCCGTTTCTTTCGGCTGAGGAGCCTACTGACACAGGTGGACGCACCTGAAGGTGACACAGAATTCTGCATTTCAAACCTCCTGCACTAGGGAGAGAGTGGTCCTTGCTTAGGAAACGCTCTCCATTTAAAAATTACTAGCTGAAAGCTAAATAGAAAATTAGCCACATGTTCATTTCAAGGGGGCAGTGAGACTTGTGTAGGCAGTTCCAATTCAGAATCTGAGCATTAATTATCTGTTCACACCACCAGCTAGAGCAAAGCAATGGTCCCCTTTTATTGGGAAGGAGCAGGACAAATTTTAAAACCAAGGAGAGAAGAAAACATAAATACTTAGCAATCCTCCTTGGTCACAAATGTACTAAATCAGGACTTGCAGCAGCAAAGAGAACTTGTCACTGATAACTTAGGTTTCCAGTGCAGAGACACTCTAAGCCATGAGATAACCATAAATAGAACTGTCTTTAAAAAAAACATTATCTTGTAAAATTAGGTACAGTGTAAAAAAATCATCAATATCTCTTCATCTTAGTACACATATCATGAAAGAGTCTGCTTACACTCTTTCTATCAGAAACCCCAGAGGTTTGTTTGTTTGTTTGTTTGTTTGTTTGTTTGTTTTTGCATGGGGGCAGGGGGGAGAGTAGCAATACTATGCATCTTATCTTGAAAATCTAGGAAATGGTCAAGGCCAACACATAAACTGAGTAAGGAAGATAACCTTTCAGGACTTCCCCAGTGCTGGAGGATACCAGGCCCCTGATTTGCTGATGGTGCAAAGGTGAATTGAAGCCGCAAGCTCTGCTGTCTACCTAGCTGATTTCTCTCGGTGGGACTGTCCGGAGAATCATTCAGATGCAGGGAGGGGCAGCAGGAGGCACGATGTTAGTGTATCCACAAAGGAGGCCACCTGCCATGCGATCTCACTGTCTCCAGAGCAAGCGACTGCAAAGGCACTTCCATTTCTGTCTCATCCTCCCTCTCTGGCAGAGCCACTGAAAGACGCAGCCCCACAGACTCTGGTTGGGTTCGGTGTTGTTTTTTTTTAATGCTTCTATAGTTTTAGGCAGTTCTCCATGAGAAGAGAGGCACAAGGAAAAAAAGGTTCCCCATTTCATGGTCACTGAATACATTCAGCGAGAGCTCAAGTCTGCCCATCAGACACCAGCCATTTTGCAAGAGACCTCAACATTCCGAAGACGCTGAAGGCGGCGGCGGCCCTTCCGATTGCAGCGGGGTTAGAGGAGCAGCAGGGGAAACAGGATTTAGTCAAAATGAGTGTTCATCCACTGATTATAAGGCATGTATTTCCTTCTTCGAATGTTAGAGGTACCCAGAAGCTAAGTTTTCACTGACCAGCCATACTTAGTCTGACTTGAGAAGTTTAGCCTGAGGTTATTAAGAGGATGGGAAGGACAAGGGCAAATTTCCCTGCTTTTCAGAAGGATACTTTGCCATCTGAAGGAAGTCACTAGCCAGCCAAAGCTCTGCCTCCAGGCCTGGAAGAGCAGCCGAATGAAGGGTCACAGAGAAAGCAGAGAAGGTCAAAGAGAAAAAGATTGCGCCAATAATTGAAAGCAAGCATATTTCTGAACATTCACCATTACACTATGAAACCAGGAGCAACACACCATTTCTTGCAACTCTCAGCCCAAGTTTTGGTCATCTAATTGAATAGCCTTTGACAATTGTCCTAAAAAAAAAAAGGTATGCTCAAATATTAAGCAAGAAAGTACAAACTTCAACTGTGTTGTAGCACACAGCACTTTGCTGAATCATTTCAATGAAATTTCAAATACAAGATGTTTTCTCACTCAGCTGGTATAATCTTTACATGCACAATAACTATATGTGATGGATGCATAGGTATATAAACCAGTTAGTCTACAACAGAGGGAGGTTGTGCTGGCTTGCTTTGGTTTTGTGCTTTAAAAATATGAACTTTTTTTTATTTTAGTAAAAATAAGGCTTCTAGACCCAAATAAAAAATAGTTGACATCTGGAAATATCCTTTGTATTAAGAGAAGAAAGTGACCAGGTTACCAGGTTATCGTAAGTGAAGATACATTCCAATATATCTAATCAAGACTGTTTCACCCAATGGAGCTGTGAGAATATCCCAGTTACAAGAGGCATTAATTCTAAAAAGAACACAGCATGCATGAATACTTCTAACTCTTAATTCAAAAGAAGTACAAGAAAAATCTCCATTTATATATTCATGAGCAAGCTCAGCATAGAACCATTGCTGCCACAAATTAAAGCATCCTATATTACATTTCATTTATCACTGCTCAGTATTTTTTAAGAAAACATTTTAGTTGATTTCTTGATTAAAACACACACACTTGCAAGTCATTATAACTGAACTATACATATTAGAAATCCAGCGAGGTTCATTGACAAGGAATGTTTATTACTAAGTCATATAACTTTTAAGGAAATGAAGATTATAAGAGCTTACTGTAAATAGCCAAATTTCGACATAAAATGTTCCATATAATTTGAACATAGCTATTAGCTGACCACTCTGCTCCTCTCCTGGACGGAAGGGGGGTTAAATGTTCCCATGGGCTCCCTGGTCTGGGAGTCAGAAGGTCTGAGGTTGTGTCTCTAAGTTAGTTCACTTACCAGCCACGCAGCCCGAGCAGCCTCGAACCTCTTTCAAGTATCCGCTTCCTGCCTTTCAAAGCATGGTTATACCAAGTTGTCCCCCAAATCCCTCTTGTGCCTCTGCCACAGGGTCTTTTAGGGGATATTATGTATGCAAAGTCAAGCCTTTAAATAGGGCACATGGAACTGCTTAGAGCATTTTTTTTTAGCATTTTAATAAAGTGTGGTTCCTTTTGTTCACTTTAATCTCAAAGAAAGTCATCCAAAAGATAAAACGGCCAGGCTTGTTCTGACAAGAATAAGATTTGTGTTTCGTGCATGCAGATGTTTATCTCATTTTATCATTTGTGTTTCATAACCATGCCACACTGGTTAGACATCAAAGGGTAGGAAAAACAGCATCAGACTTATATGACTTCAATGATTTAAGGCAAACCGAGAATGGTTTTAAATAGCCATTCGTTTCCAGTGCTTAAAAAAGTCACGACTGAATTAACGTTAAAGCAATCAGAAATACTTATGGCTCCTTGGTATTGACTGTCTTTGCTTAAACGTGCTATATTTTGCTCAGAAATCCTTAAACTGAGCGTTATCCGTATTATATGTATCCCACTCATCCTTATGCGGAGCACAATAAACTTAATTATAAACAACAGTGTTCTTGTGGCCTAAAAGGGAATTGAAGGCAATTTCCATCAACAAAGTTTTGAAATTATGTCTCATCCAGAATCAAGTTATATTATGTTGGCATAGACCTCACCACCCTCGTTAGAAAGAGTAGTGGGAAATACATAAAATACTAAAAGGTTTAGATTAGAAATTGTATGGTATTTTAAAATGATCTAGGCTGAAACACTGGAAGAGTTCCATCTCCAGATGAAAAGAAACATAATAAAGCGTCACCATCCCCTTCTAAATTTGAAGTTGTACTGGCTACTACCTTACAAACAGACTGTCCTCTACTAACATTCCTTAGTGTTTGATATAGGGTAGCACGCTGCTCTGCTAACCAGATTCATTCAATAGTACTTCTCAGAATGAAGAATTTGCTTTACTTTGGGAGGTGATGGACATGTTCATATTCCCGATTGTGGTGATGGCTTCACAGGTATATCCATCAAAATTCATTAAATGAAACTGTCTGATGCTATATGCCCAGATGATTATACCTGCTAAGGCCAGTAGAGCTACTTAGCTGACCTACGATGTCTGAACTGCATGGTCATTTTAAGGGAGCTGGAAGTCCGTTGCAGTGTTTTATATTGCAGCCCTTATCTCCAGAGTCCTTCTCATTCCTGTCCCGGGGGTGGGAAATGCCCACCCCTCCCGCTCCTTCACCTGCTGACTGATGCCTGCATGCTAGGCTGGATGGCGCCCCGTGAGCACTACGTTTAAAAGACATCTGAATAGCAAATCAACCTGAAGGGAAATTCCTGCAAGAGAAACAAGTATGTTGAAGCTTTTTCAAAACATTTTTAGTCTTGTAATTCTTTGACTACGTATAAACCTTTCAGATACGTACACCCAAAGAGACTCTGTACGAATCATGAAATAAGGTCAGCAGATCACGTAGCCCAGGGACTCGGCCTCTCCTCAGATAGATGATAAGCTACTAACCTCAGGGCCAAAAGGGCCATATTTGTGTCCAGAGAAATCAGGTTGCTCGGAATAGAAGGCATAGACCGAAGGCCTACAGGAAAATAGGCAGGTTCAGAGTCTCCCCAAAACACACATAACAAAAAGCACCAAATATACCTTCACATTAAAAAAAGAAAAGAAACCTCTCATACCTATCTGGTTAATCTCCCAACTGCTATCAGGCTTCCCATGGAAAACATCACGCTCTTGTTTTGTGTTTTGTTTTGTTTTATTTTGTTTTGTTTTGTTTTGTTTTGGTTTGGTTTTTATTGCTTCCACAACCACCCCCACTGTGGCAACTGCCTGGTACCATCTTCAGGAATCAAAAGTCACAAAGGAAAATCTGAAACACACACTCAGGTCTTTGATCCTCAACATAATGGAGCCCAGTGACAATTCACACAGGCCACGCAATCTGCAGCCTGAAAGAGCTACTCCATTAAAGCTAAAAGGCTTTCTTAATGTTTCCCTAATCCTTGGGAAGTTGTTGGTTCATTTATCAAAGCCAGGAACTCCCTTAAACTCTGGGGTAGTGGCCAGGATTAACAGCTGTAGTAATCCATGTAATTAAATGCTCCCCAAAACCTACGTCTAGTGTGTCCTTCTTAGGGAGGTTAACACTGAAGGCTAAGACCACAAAACTTAGTAATACTGAACTTTCGCTGTGCTTCTGTTTCATAGTCGATCTAGTTTCTCACCCAATTCTAACCTAAAATTAAAATATACTGAAGAAAGAAGAGGAAAAGTCAGGGAGAGGGAAACAAATACCTTTCGTTGTCTGGCAGGGACAGCCACTGCAGTATGGTTAATATTCTCCGCTCGTGAGGGATGATCCTGCAGGTAAAACAAGCAAAGCATGATGGGAGTCTGTAGGGCATTAACAAGCAGAGCACCATGAGAGGTTGCGCGTCCACAAACTCCGGCCCGATGAGCATTTGCCCTTGCACCCAGGCTAAGCGCTCTCTATTGACCACCATCTGTTTTCACTTCATTGTTGCAGAAGGGCCTTGTTCGAATCAGTGTTTGAACTTCCATTTCCATTTGCAACATATTACATTGCTCAACCCCAGAGGAGACTGGAAACTCTGATTCACGGTCAGATGAGGAACCTGCCTTGCTGCTCAGACTCCACTGCAGGCAGAAAGGACCCCGGGCTCAGAACTGTTGCTGTTTGGTGGGTGAAAGTGTTAGCTGTGGCCACAGAAACACCAGGATTCATATCCTCAATCTGCCTCTTGGCGGTGGTGTGACCTTTCTTGACCTCTGGGCCTCTGACCTCTTTTGGCCTCAGTTTACTTATCAGTAAAATAAAGATAACAGCAAAGCACACTGCGCTGGTTGGCTGTGAAGATGAAATAAGACAAGATAAGCAAAGGGCACGCACAATTTCTAGCCCACAGTCAGTGCTGAAAAAAAAACCCTTATTTTTGTTAATGATCAGAATTAGTTATCATTCCATCTCTAAGCAGACATACGCCTTTAGAAACATAATTTAATCTGAAACTTTAAGTTCCTCCTCTATAAATAAGGGGTTTGGAAAAGCATTCTTGAAATTCTCTTCTAGCTCTACAAAAATCTATCAGGAATGGGCACATATAATTATGAGACTGACAAAAAGGGTATAATCTTCATCCACAATGACTTATGTGTTTAAGTCTCATTCTTCTGTTGAAATATAATTACCCTGAATCTGGCCCTCACTTTGAGAGTGCTTGGCTAACATGATAGCCCTGTATCCTCAGCTGAGTTTCATGAAGATGCTCGCACGCTGAGTGATGTATTTATTTATAGGGAAATTTGCTTATTCTTTCCTAACAAGGAGCACAGCATGCTTTTCTGCTCCTCCATCCAACACTGGGCATTAGAGCATGTTAAGGATGAATTCAAACTGAAGCCCAAGTTCAACTGTGGTTAGCAAAAAACACTGTGGCCCACATGAACCCTAGGGTAACTGACTGTCTCTGGGTGGTAATGATGTGGCAATGTAGATTCATCACTTGTAGCAAAGGCACTGCCCTGGTTAAGGCTGTTGATAGTGGCCATGCCTGTGTGTGGGGGCAGAGGGTACATAGGAAACCTCTGTATCTAATGCTCAATGTTGCTGTAAACCTAAAACTGCTCTTAGAAAGTGTTAAACATTTATCATGGAATGCTGGGCGAGCCATTTAGACATCTACTCTTTATGGATGTGCGTGAGAGAAAGCGAAGAGAAAGGCAGGTTTTCAGAGCCGAGGGAGGCGGCCGGAGTTGGCAGGGTATCTAATCCAGCTGCTTCCCGCTCCCCAGCACCACCGCCTCCCGCCTTCTCAGACAGATCGGGCCTTTGCCACTCCTCTGGGCCTCTCTCTGTCGAAAACTATCCCACCAACCCAGAAAATCATGTGTATCATAAAATAAGCCCTCATTTAAACACATTTCAATGCTATTGAATAAATGCGACCTTGTTTAATACATCTTATAATTGAATTAGAAATGGGCATAGCAAAGTCAGGTTAATCACTTAAGATATTTAATTCTTCAGTCTTAGAAATCCCCTGTATCTGAACAAAGTAATTACATATTTTGAATTCTTTCCTAACTAAAAAAAAGAAGTGAATGCCTTTCCTTTTATCTTACTTCACTAGCTACCTAGAAGCTGCTTTATTTTATGTAATTGGCATTAAGTCACACAAATGGATTCTGATCAACTCATTTGATGCTAATGGAAAAACACAAGCTGTTAGAATTTGTGTCAAGTTCAGAATGCTCTAGTCCTTTAACACCTTCATTGGATGGGACGCTTGACCAGTACGGGGCAGGGAACAGAAACATCAGCTCTGAGGCCAGAATGTTCGGGTCTAAATCCTGACCCCACGTGTGCTGCTCATGAGACTCTGACTAGTTACCTAACCTTGCTGTGTCTTTGTAAAATGAGGAGATACCTATCTCAGAAGATGGTTGTCAAAATTAAAAGGCATCATATGTATAAAGCACTTAGAATAGTGCCTGGCACATAGAAAGAGTTTAGAAAAATGTTAGCTTTTATCATTAAGTACTCAATTCACAGGCCCCAAGAGATGATACAATTAGTCATGAAATATTTATTAAAAGCTTATTATGTTCAAGGCATCTGTGGGAATATACATAAACATATAAGATACTCCTATTACAGAGGAGTCACCGTTCTCTGCCTGGAAAGATAAGCAATTCATGATCCTTTTTGGGCAGGGGCTGAGTGTGCGCATGTGCCGGCGGGGGCAGGGGAGGAGTGGGTAAGAGCATAAGACGACAACACTGGAGGTCTGAGTAACTGTTCAGCCTAAGTGTGGCCTTGGGCACAGCATTTCATCTCTCTGAGCCTTAGTGTTCCGATCTCGAAAACGAGGTACTGGGCAGAGTGGTCTCTAAATTTCCTAGGAGTTCTAGATTATTTTCATGAAATACCCACAGAACAAAAAGACATGGCCCTGACTCATTAGTGTTTAAAATACAATTCAGAGTCAACACCAATAAATATGACTAAGGAAGAACAGAGGTCCATACAGAAAGGCAAATGGGGTTCACGCTATTTTCTTGACCATCACCAACTGATATAAAGTATGTCATGAGGCCTTGTACATTAGACACGGTCAGACAAAAGAGGAGGAATGGAAAACGAAGGACTAGATGAACTATTAGTGATAAAGGAAAACAAATTACCTTTGGACATGTATACCCATTATCTAATCAATGTGGTGAGAAATAATGTGAATTTAAAAATAGTATTTACTGGTTGTTTTGTATATGCTAAGTATCCTACTAAGCACTTTAAATAAGTTAACTCCTTCTACCTTCACAATGCCCTATGATATGAAGATACTACTATTGCCATTCAAAAAGGAGGAAATTGATTTGTTAAGAGATTAAATCACCTGACACAAGTCAACAATCTGTTAAGGCAGAGCTGTGATTAGAATCAACCTAAACTCTCACATGTAAAAGGAATTATTGCCCTTGGACATGAATTAACGCCAAAGAAAAAATGTGATGGAGCGTCAGCTGAGGAAGATTTTGAAATGACATACCGTCACTGAAAAAGGAAAGATAATTCTAGGCCGCAGTACAGAACCATGTTAAAAGATGGCCTTCTAAGTCTATGGCTGGAATCGGCTTTTAAATTTGAAATTTTCCCAAATGTACTATGTGTCGATTTCCTTGACACATATGCCATGAAACAGCTGGAAGTATGGCCATGTTTTCATTGAGTTATAAAAAGGTGTTTTAAAAAGAAAAGAAAAAATGGATCCAAGTCACTTCCAAGATGGAGAGACCCAAGAAGGATGGCCTGCGAAGAGCAGCGCAACCACAGGCATCACTGGAGGCCTCGGACGCCACCTTCTTATAAGTGGTTGGACGTGGGTGGAGAGAATCGCCATTCAGAACCAGAACACTGGGTCTTTTCAATGAAGCTCTGCAGCAGTTTCGGGGGGTAAGGGTGGGTCTAAGTATTAATTATGTTGTCGGCTCCTCTCCATTTTGCCAGGCAAATACGTTGTCCAACAGAAGAAATCACTGCTGTAAGCATCTGGGACTGTCAAGGTGCAAAAAATTAAAAGTGTAATGCATAAGATTTAATTGGTAAATCAACGTGCCATTTACATGAGGCAGTGTCATGTTCCACATGCCCACATGGATTTCTCAACTCCGAAAACCTCTTTTTTAAAAAAGGGAGAAATGACTTTTAAAGGGATACTCTGTCTCAGCTTCAAATCGCCAAACCCAATTTCAACTTTGCCATTCAAATCTGAAAAAGCTACTTTTATTCCTGAATTTGGAGAATATAGGCAGCACCACTCTGGGTGACGGCTGTCAGCACACTACTATTATGGCATAGTCAGATTTTTGTTAAGGAATATGAGGCAAACTCAGAAACAGCTTTAGGTGGTTTCAAAAAAAATAAAAAAGATGGAAAGAACATCTCGGTGAGACCAAAATCCCCATGAAAGTTGAAACAGATTCCTTCTTTTTACTAAGGACCTGAAAAATAATCAACATGTTGACACTTGTGTTAGGTCAGTTTCTTCTGTCTTATGAGCACAAACTACTAATCTCCCCATCGCTTCTTTGGGGGAGAGAAGTGGTTCCATTTTCTAATTAGGGAAACCCCGAAGTTCAGTGGGAGAGGGGGGTGAAAACAGAGGCTTCCCCTTGTCTCCTGCCTGGAATAGCCAATCTCTAAACCACTACATCAGCCTGAGACCACACTAGATTTTTTAAAGGTGTGAAGCAAAATAAATACAGTGTGTCGTAATATATGGATAGCAAATGATAATACAAACTACAGCAGAAGTAGTCTAAGAAATATACATTCCCTGGGTGACAAGTTACCAGAAATGTATAAAAGGGGACAGAAAAATCTAAAGAATGAATAGAAGAAAAAGAAAAATCTTCCTTATATTCTATTAAGAAAAGATGGCATGCCCTGGCCGGTGTAGCTCAGTGGATTGAGCGTGGGCTGCGAATCAGGCATCGCAGGTTCGATTCCCAGTCAGGGCACATGCCTAGGTTGCAGGCCATGGCCCCCAGCAACCGCACATTGATGTTTCTCTCTCTCTCTCTTTCTTTCTCCCTTCCCTCTCTAAAAATAAATAAATAAAATCTTTTTTAAAAAAAAGAAAAGAGAAGATGGCATAAAAAAGACATAGAAGAAGAAGAGAGGATGGGAGGAGGAAGTGGGAGAGAGAATAGAAAGAGGACTTCCGGAAAAATAACTGGAAGGTTATTTTAAAGCAGAAAATATTCAGAAGTTCAGGTTCTTAACTGGCATGAAATCAAGTCAAATCAATGTTTCATAAACTGAATCATAATTGTAGTTTTACAAACGTTGGCAAGACAGAGGTAACTTACACAGACCAGAAGAATGTCCCAGCTTTCACCCCTTGCTTGGCGGCCGTAATCCATAGCTAATGAGGAAAATATAAGAGGTTTAGAACATGTTCTGAGCTTTGGTCAAAGAAGAAAAATAGTTTTAAAATATATGATATCAGTTATCTTACACTCTACCCACACCACACCATAAATTTCACATTATTTGCAACCATGATTTTTTTCACATCTGGAAATCAGAATCGTTATTTCCATAAATGTTATCTGATATGTTGGCTGCAAAGGCTTTCAAAAGCTCCGCTGTGATTCTAGTGGCATTTTTAACTCTTATTTCATGGTCTCTTCTGTACCTTTCTGATCGGATCATTGTTCTTACTTCAAAAGTCTCTTCTGTACCTTTCTGATCGGATCATTGTTTTGAACACCACACTTACAGGGCAGAATTCTAATCATCAAAGGACCCAACGGTAGACCATATGTGTTCTTTACTATTGAAAGCCTACAGAGGAGAATCCCAGTTTGGTACACAGATGTGGGGAACTTGGAACCTAGCTTTGCATTGTTTTGTTTTAAACTAGGTGATTGAAAGGAAAAAAAGGTTTTAGTTTTTGTTTTTGTTTTTTAAAGATTTTATTTATTTATTTATTTAGAGAGGGAAGGGAGGGAGAAAGAGAGAGAGAGAGAAACATCAATGTGCGGTTGCTGGGGTCCATGGCCTGCAACCCAGGCACGTGCCCTGACTGGGAATCGAACCTGCGACACTTTGGTTCGCAGCCCGTGCTCAATCCACTGAGCTATGCCAGCCAGGGTTAAAAGGTTATTATTTTATTCTGGATTTTCCCTTGTATCTTCTACTTAGCCTGTTAGTAAGTGGAATTTTAGAAATGAGTTCCTGGACTAAGTTAGGTCAACCAAGCATTTCATTAAGGCTTGTAAAATATTCTTTCTGCCCCATGCTATTGAGAGGCAGCAGACAGGGGCAGCTAAGAACCTGAGCTCCACATCTAGGCAGCTGGATTCCAAGCCCTGTCTCTGCCATTCACCAGCCACACAGTCCTCCAGCAAGTTCCTTAAGCTCCCTGTGCTTCAGTTTCCTTCAAAATATAGATAATATTACCTCGCACATGGGACTGTTCTAAGGAGTTAATACATTTAAAGTCCTTAAAACAGTGTCTTCGCATTTGGTAACCACTTGATGTATTTTCATCTTAATTATTATGCAATAATGGAAATAAATATGATCCAGTTATTCTAGGAGCATTAAAAACAACTTAAGATGGCCAGCGTCCCACCAAACAGAAGTCTGGGAGAAGAAAACCGTTCACTTTAGGAGGCCAACGGGAAGGAGAAGTGTGGCTTGTTTCTTACAGACTGAAGCAAAAATGGTCTAGGAATCGCAGCCACTCCCTTTCCTGGTTTCATTGCATCCAGACTCTGAGAGGGACTCACTGACTCCAGGGAAAACATTTGGTTTTTGCAATCAAAGGGGTAATCAAGAGGCGTGAGGAGTTTGGCCATGGTCTCAGAAGGGTCTGAGACGCCTGGCCTAGGAGAGCACTGCAAAGATTCCCAGCTCCTTGGTGGGGCCTCAAAATCCCCAGCCCCCCCCAACAAACTGCAGCCATTGAAGCTGGCAAGTGAGTGATAAGGCAGGAGAACACAGGTACCCTGTTAGATCCTGGGTATTATCAGCACAGGAGAACTGGGGTCCCATTGGGATGCATCAGAGAGAAAAGGATCTCACATTGCTCCAAGAAGCATTCCAGGGTTTGGTCCAGAGCACATTCCACCTTACATACAAACTCTGGCATGCCCAGGTGCCCCAGCCTAAACAGGATTCAAACCGTGTCCTGGAGTTTCACTCATTCATGTTCCAACTAGCAAATGGAGTCCCACTCATTCGCACCTCCACTAGCAAGAAGATGCGGTCAAGCTAGGTGCTGGACACGCCACAGGCGCCTCAAAACCCGCACCAGATCCTGGAGAGACCAGTTGCTCATGTTAAGTGGTCTGTTTTCATGCTTATTTCAGCTTCAGGAACACAGCCTGGAGTGTTCATATCCAAACAACTTCCTTGAAAATTGAGTGGTTTGCTATTTTCAAGAAAGCTGTACTAGGCAATATTTGGCAGGTATGAAATATAAGATCGACGTGGGGTTTTCTAGTGGATGTTTTTTTAGAGCAATTTTGTCAAACGATGACCGTGCACTTTGAAAGGTTGTACAGTATCGTGGAACACGCGCTGATGTCGCCATTATCTGCGCAACAGGAAGCCCTACAGATAACCTGTAGGTCGGAAACACTGGAGAGGAGAGAACCCCAGAAGCGGCCTTTGCGGCGGCGGGAGGGGGCAGCCCTGGGAGAGAAGCCAGAGTGGATAGGGGACGGTATCCCGATGGCAAAACCGGGGATCGTTTGTTCTCTACACTTTCCTGTAGTCCCCGAATTTTTGCAATCAGAACAAAGGTAACCAACTGTCCCTTTAACGGTAACCCATGTAAACTATGAAAACAATTTAAACGTTCAAAGTTTTTATTTCTTCTCAAAAAAAAAAAAAGAAGCAGCAATCGATTTCTCCCTGCTTCTTGGTAAAAGTCTTGCTGACCATACTTTCTAAAAGAAAATGGGAGTGTGGTCAGAAAAGCGCAGACGGAGAACAGATAGAACAACAAAGAGAGAGCACCTGAAATGAAGCACACACATTTAAAAATCTCAAACCAAAGAATTCTAGCAGTAATGAAGCTGACCTGTCTCAGTTTAGCAAATGGTACTAGACTGAAGTGTCAAGTTTGTAAGTTAAATCAGATCATAAACAGCTATAAAGGCTCCTTTGCAGGTCGTATGTGTTTATTATATTTCAGAAGTGAAATCTAGTAATTACAGGGGGGAGGCAGTGGAGACACTAAATCGTGGGTCCAAAAGAAGAAAAGTGAAAAAAGAGCTTCAGAGAGAGAGAGAGAGAGAGAGAGAGAGAGAGAGAAATTCCTAGTTCCTTGTTAATTCAGAGAAATGGGATCACAATTCTCTGAATGCGAATGCAGCTTCCTCAAGACTGGTACTGCAACACAGCTAAAAAAAATGAGCTGAGAAGACACTGGGTGGAGACACACCCAACTTGAATCCCCAAGTGTCGCCCATTTCCCTGCCTGATGTCTAGGTCAAGATTTCAACATCAAATGTTGACAACAGAGTTTTCCAACATCTGTGTCCTGGGTGCTCTAGTTTAAAAAAGAGATGCATGGGAATAATACTGTACCTCTTTGATATATTATCAGGAATAAAAAATATTTTTAAAAAACCTTTCCTGCTGCAACCAGAAAGATTTAAATGTGAAATCAAACACTTTCTCAAATTTAGGAATGGATGCAGCTTTAAGAGAAGGACAGAAGTTTTGAAAAAGAAAATAAGTGAAAACCATTTTTCAAAACCATGAATCATGGTCATAGTCTTTCTAGCAGTTCTCTTTTTTTTTAATTTTATTTTAATCATTGTTCAAGTACAGTTTTCTGTCCTTTACTCCCATTCCAGCCCACCCACCCATCCCTCCCCATTTCTAGCAGTTCTTTGCAGAGAAATTATTCCGGTGCATTCAAAAGCACGGAGGTAGGACAAATAGAATTCTGGGAGACTGGAGGGAGGGGTGGGGCACTAGTCCGCACAGAAGGAAATCAACTATCGAGGCTCAAGAGTCAGAACAAACTAAGGATGTAAGGGGTTGTCAGATGATCCAGCAGAAGAGACTGTGGACCATGGTGGCTCTTTCCAGGCGGGTAGGGCCAAAGAAGGAGAGGGACGAAGTACAGGAAGGACGTGCAGGCCAATGAGCCGCACACAGGGGTGCCGAACGCCGTCAGCCCAAACACAGCAGTGACGCACCTCCACGGGTCAGGCTGTGGGGCAGGTCCTGAGACTACTGAAAGATGTAAAGCAAGGCCCTACCCCCTTGGGGCCCACAGTCTAAAGCAGGCCTGTGAACAATTTCAAAAGGATATGGTCAAATTGATGACAGACGTAATATGAAAACCCAGAGGAGGATCTCTGAGCTTAGCCAGGGCTGAAGGAGCTTAGTGAGGGCCCCTTGGGGGCAGGTATTTCAACGGAAAATTGAAAGATAAGTGTAGCAAAGGGATCAGGTGAGCAGAGTCCATCCTAAGCATATTAAGATACAATCAAAAGAGGAGGAAATACAGATTTCTAGCAGTATATGGAAAAGAAACAACAGAATAAAGAAAAGATAAAATTTTCCGGAAAAGAAAGCCACGCCTCCCAACTAGCGGGGATAACGAACTAGACAAAAAGCGGTATGCTTCGAACTTGCACTTTCCATCGAGCTGCTCCCTTTGGCCTGGAAGTTCCCTCCTATTCTAATGTCATTCTTCTCTTTGCTGTCTCTTTCTAGAACATGCCATCTTCCTCAGAATCCACTCATTGCATCGCACAATACTGGCAGAAAGCAACAGCAGCCCTAGCATCTTGGGAAGTGATGAGTACGTGTCTTCTCCTCTCACAAACGCCTTCCTCCGGAAATTCGGGCTTTGGAAGACTTGCATCTGGGAGCATGTGGGCGGGGGGTGGGTGGGACTGGTTTCTCAGATCCCCTCACACAGCGGGCCCCTTGCGGTCTCATTCATTCTCCCCCTTGCTGAGCCCAGATTTAAACAGAATGGGGAATTGCCCCTGAGATACCTTAGTAGGAGGAATTGCAAAGTTACACTAGAGAGGTTTTTCAAAGAAACGAACACACTTAAAAAACTCCATTAAGAGGATTGAATATACTTTAAAACAACAGCAACGAAAGGGATTCCATTAAAAAATGTATGAGAAATGTAGGGTCACTAAGTGAATGACAACTATTAGCATTTTAAAGACTGACAAATTCAAATCAGAGTCAACTTTGCTGGAGTGGCTATATCGGGGTTAAAAAATTAAATTATAGAAATTATTTTGGGGAGCCTAATGGTGAGATTCAAATTTTCAGGTGGACGCTGAACAAATGTCTGATTCCATCTTTTAGATTTTAAACCAGGATAAGGGTGGTTTTTATTTGCCATTTAATCTGACCCTTATATTACTATTTAAGCAAATTTCTTTCGTGGTTTAATCACTCAGTAAAAGTAATCTGAGTTTAATTTAATTACCTAAAAGTTTTACTTTTTATAAATGTTTTTATCATAGTTTTATAAATTTTTCCTTACTCCAGTTATTTTTTCACTGATGATTTTGTAAAATGTATAACCCTCTGAGATGATATAAATGTTTAAGAATATCTATTAATGCTCAACTTCTCTTATACCATTTGTAGTTTCTTCCACTCTTACACTGTAGTTTCTTATAGTGTCTGACTGTATGTTTTCCCTATATGCCAAATTTCAGTAAAGCATGTCTTTAAATCATAGTACTATATTCCTTGGAATCCTTATTCTGGCATCTTATGCAAGAAGATAGAAACACGAATCAGTTTCACCACAAATCTTGGTCAGCACTAGGAAAGTCCTAAACTTGGTCAAATGTGTCAACTTGGGGAGTTAATAAGGAAACAGGCAAACAGTCAGACAGAGACTTCACTTCACGGGGCAGGTTAATAGCGTTCCCTCTGCCCTGTTTCTGCCCAAGTTAATGAATATGTTGACTCATCTTCTGAGTCACGCCAACCCAGAGGAAACCTAATGTCAACATTTGGTGTAAGGTGATCCAATTTGATAAAATTACTGTTTATCTCTATATTCTCTGTGGTTCCAGGCAAAGCCGGCTTCCACGACAAAATTAATAGAAAAGACCAACGAGCAGGAGCCTGATGGAGTTCTAATTTCAATCATTTTATTTGCACATAAACCGACGCTCTCGCATAAACTTTGTTTGTGAAATCCGCCCTGTAAACAAATTTCACGATGCTCCCAACCTAGGTCATCGCAGACTCCCCGGAGCCCAGCCCAAACAGGGACGGCAGAATCAGAACCTCTCTTATAAAGAAACACTTCTACAGACACGCAAGAAGTCTTCCCATGTTTATTTTTTTTTAATGAAAAGTCCATATTTAACCTTGTATACTGATTTATTATGCGATATAAATATTTTTTCACAAACGGCCTTTTCTCAGAGAAGAGGTAATTTTTTTTTTTTTTCTTACTCTATATTCTCTATTCCGCCCAGAGATTGCGGCAAACGTCTCCAGGCAGGAGATCATTCGGGGGCGGGAGACACACGGACGTGTGCGGATGCTGTCGCCTCTCACGGCGGTTGCCTAGAGGCCTCCCAGCCCTCCTTCCCAACCAGGGCCCCGGGGAGCCACGGCCCTGATCACAGCGGACGAGACGGAACCTTCGCCATCCTTCCCCCACGGGTTTCTGATCCACTGTGTGGGCTGGGATGTGCTCCTGCGGGGGAACTCTGATTCCCCGCCCCGCCCCCCCCCCCCCCGCTACGGTCACGTGCACTTAGCTCAGTTCCACACACTCACCAGTCAGGGTCTTAGGTTGCTGCTTCGCTCACGTCTGACCAAAGCAAGTTGCCTAACCACACACACAGTCACAGGGAAAATAGTATGCAGAAAGCCCCCTACACCCCTTTCCACTTTCTGCCCAGGCATTTAATGTGAAGTGAACAGGATGATTTCTTTCAAAGTATCAATTTGTTGGTCCAGAATCTAGGTAGGATTTCTTCTATTTTTTTTAAATAAATATTTTATTTATTTATTTATTTGTAGAGAGAGGGAAAGGAGGGAGAAAGGGAGGGAGAGAAACATCGATGTGTGGTTGCCTCTCGTGCACCCCCTACTGGGGACCTGGCCTGCAACCCAGGCATATGCCCTGACTAGGAATTGAACCAGCGACCCTTTGGTTCACAGGCCAGTGCTCAATCCACTGAGCCACATGAGCCAGGGCTGGATTTCACCTACTATATGGAACTTTCAAAACTATTACAAAAATGGGTTAAATAAAAGAATGACTTTATTGTGGTTTCATTGAGTTCCGTTTTTTCAGAAAGTTTCCCTGTTTCTGTTCACATGTCATCTGGGCCAAAATTCTGGGGTAGTTATAGTCATTCACTTCTTTTTTTCACTGTACCCCCAAATCTAGTAAATCAATAAGATTAGACTCTTCCTTCTTCAAAATGTTTCTGAAATTCATCCCTAGGTCACTATTTCTACCACTGTCACCCTAATGAAGATATTTATCATCTCACATTTTTATAGTCACAATGTCACATAAACATATACACATGTATATACACACACATAGACATGAGCACATGAAGATATACATTGTAGATGCACAGATACACATACATATATAAACAGTATATATGCATAGATATGAATACATATACACATCATATGCACACATGGACACATATACAGGTAGGGCACAATAGGTTTACAGTTGAATGAAAAATAACACAATAATTAATAAATAATTCAAGAGTAAACTGTTTTGCATACTCACAACTGTAAACCGACATTTACCCCACACTGCATATTATATGCACACACATCCACATACATATACAAATAACAAAGGAAAGAAACATTGCCAGTTATGAAAAAATCATATGCAGCTTTTTTGCAGGTAACCCATTTGGGAATGAAATGTTTCAGTGCACAGAGACACACACAAAAATGCGAAACTTACTGGTTGGCCTCCCCACCATCTGTGATTAAACTTCTCTTTCCCTCGAAGATGGAAACCGGCATCAAATACAGGATCGTACATTGAATTGCCAACAATTCCATGTGATTCTGGATACAGCCCCTTTGAGTAAAAGGAAATTTATCACTAAAATATCAACATAATAATCCACACACATTAGTTCCATTGTAAATGTTCATAACATAGAAGGTTTTATAGCAATAATTAATTTCCAAATTTATATTTTATACATAAAACCTTTATATGTGTCTGAGCAAACATAAATATTGTCTATGTACTGATTTTAAGCCATCTGAGAGACCTGACAGTATTATAAATAGATTAATATTTGGGTCTTTTGAACTGTTGCAATTTAATATGATGACAACAATTTTTATTATAACAAATTAACCTTTAGCTGAAATTTATTTATGTGCCTCCAAAAAAGAATTTCCCTTTCTAAATACATTTTTCTCAGTTCTATTTCTAACCCCAAACCAAAAAATAATAATAATTAAATAAATTAAGCCTGTTTTTAAAGAAGAAAGCAAGGTAGAATTGAAAGTATCTGAAAATGAAAACGCAGCAGCCCTGAAGTCAGTATTTTTACTTGAAAACTGAGAAAACACACAATAGCCCCTGTGGTGTCTGAGGGAGGTTTAATGTGAGCATTTAGATGGAACGGTCCTGGGAAACCAGCTTGGGGCTTAAAGCTGCAGCGACACTGGGCCACCGACAAGGCTGCAAAAGGTGTTTACTGAGAACAGCCAAGGCAGAGAAGATGGGACACAGGGAGGTTTTCTTTGGACACTAAGGAACATGCAATCAGCCCTTTGGCTCTCTACCGTTTGAAAAGAATACTTACAGTGGCCAAGGTGTACAAGTTGGGGAACGTCTTCGTCGGGTACACAGGCCTCATGTAAGGAGAGTGAGTACCACAAGACCCTGGAGGCGAGATCGGGACGGGAGAACCAACAGAAATCACTCTGTGCAGAGAACCCGCTTTATAAACTCTCACACGCACGCATTAACCTTCGCTTTCATATTGCAAATAATAAAATACATTTCAAGCCATGCATCCACAGATCTCCCAGCCCCAGGCTGAGCACTCACTTTGCAGACCATGGATGACAGATGAGAGAACACAGTATAGAAGCGACTTACTGAGTTTTTCGATGTTAGGCATGACCTTGCTGCCTTTCTTCATGTATGAGGCACGGAAGCCATCCACGGAGAAGATGATTAATGGAGGGCGGACAAACCTTAAACAGTACCACATTAAAGCCTTAGAAAAATCATTGCCACAGAGTTTCCATGATGCCAAGTCATTCTCAATAATTGGGACCAAGGATTTCCAAGATGAAACCTCAAGTGAAGAGATCGGTACAAGCCTGGGCTTCCAGCCAGGTACCACTTTTGGCGCCTGAAGTTCAGAGCCAAGTGACCAAAGTCATAAAGCAGCCAGGGCAGGGACCGACTCCCCCTAATGTGCTCCCTCCATGGCTGCCTCCCACACGGCAAACAAGGCTTTTCACAGTGCAAAAAGCTGTTACATTTGCTGAGACTATGTTTTCTCTCACTTGCTACCTGGAAAATGTCTGCTCGTTCTTTAAAACCCAGCTTAAGTTTTCCCCTTCTGTAATATCAGTTGCCCACACTTCTGAATTCCTTTAAGATATTAATTCACACCTCTTTTATTGTTTACATATATTCTATCACAGTGTATCGTTCTGTTAACATGTTTATCTCCTTCACCAGTTTCAAAGCACAGTTTGTGTCTCACTCATCCCTCTATTTTCTGGACCCGTGGGAGGGCTACATTACTGTTTAGCACAGGAATGAATGAATATGAAATTAAGACAGTAGCATCCCTGTCATGAGAACTAAGCACTAGTAAAAATTCATTTACGTTTAATTGTATAATTGTTGTAAAAAATACTTCAATTATTGAAAACCTCTAAAAAGGTAATTAATACAGGACTAGACTAGCCATCTAACTAGTGCAGGATCTGATCAAATAGGCCCTTTGTTATATTCTAAATATAGAGTTGTTTAATCAGACTTGAGAATACTAAACCATGCACAAAACTCTTTCTAATAGCTTAATGATAATGCAGCAAGGATAGGCTTGAGTTTATTTGAAGTCACATAAAGAGTGAGGCTTATTTTAAATAGAAAGCATTTGGAACAATGATCTATAAGAGTTTATTGTTATCGTTGCTGTTATTTAACAAGACTTGTGTCACTTAGAGTGGTTTTTCCTCAAAAATTAACTGACTACATTTTAGACAGTCAGAAACTACTGCCCTCCCATTCTAAAAGCCCAAAGAAGTTCAGGTGGCCCATGAATGTTAAAAAGGAGATCAAAATCAAGACAATATCTAAATACTTGGATTTCGTGCCCCAAGCTATGCTTAAAAGAAAATGTACACTCGAACAAATGCATTTGTGAAAACACATTTGTTGAAAATTTATTTTCTGCCCGGCTTTTTAAGGGACCATGAATTTTCAGCAGTTTCCTGAAAGGCATAGTAAGTGCCTTATGCTGGTCACCCCTGAGCTGTGGGGTGTCACTTCACTTCGGTGGTTTGTCACATTTCTGCAGCATCTGGTAGGAATTACCATCTTTTTTTAAAGATGTTTATTTATTTATTTTTAGAGAGGGGGGAAGGAGAAAGAGTGGGAGAGAAACATCAATGTGTGGTTGCCTCTTGTGTGTCCCCCAGTGGGGACCTGGCCTGCAACCCAGGCATGTGCCCTGACTGGGAATTGAACCTGCGAGCCTTTGGTTTGCAGGCCCGCCACACCAGCCAGGGCAGGAGTTACCATCTTGGATGATATTTTTGAGAAGTTCTAGCAGCTTTCCCTCTGCCCACTGCACCCCCCAAAAAGTCAAAAGCCACACTTTGGTGGGGAAAAAATGGGAAAAAGTTTCTTTTCTTCCTAAGCGATATTTAGATTCACTTTGTGAAATCTTCAGCTAAGGTGGACATAGCTTGCCTGTATAAGAGGATTTCAGTTTGTCGTCCTTTTTAACCATTTATCCCTCTCTATCCTGTGATATTTTCTCAATTAATCAAGTGCATTTTTATGCTCTTCATGAAAAACACTTACCCTGCAGGGCATTCTGGTGTCTTGATTTCCTCACAGTCATCATCCACCCAGTGTGACTCTCCTACAAGAGAAATGGGTACATTTACTGGTGAATCAAATGAAAAATGGCATCCAGAGGCTCGACAAGTACCATGCCAGGACCTGTGTCCTGCTGACACATGTATTATGGGACAACATCTAAAAAGAAACTGAAATACAGCCCCGTGTCTGGTTTGGCTTCTTAAAGTACACTCACACACAACGAGAAAGCTAAGATTTAATAACCCCAAGTGGTGTTTATGGAAACCTTCAGAGTCTAAATGGTTTCTAGATAAAAACACCAGTGGTGTCAGTGACTAAAATGCAATGTTTGTTTCCCTCCAGAAATAAACTATTTGGCCATTAGATGCAACATTCTTCTCTCCACCACCAAACATCTCAAAGCCGTAGAAAGTATGGCACAACTTCCCTTAGACTGGGGAACAGGGCATGGAAGGCGCAGGGGTGATGGCTGAAAGATGCAATAGATGATTCGCCAGTGGATCTGTGTACGACCCTGGAATTCAGGAATACAAACCATGCTATCTTAATAGAGGCATCTGTAACAGTGTCAACAATAAAAATAAAGGGAAAACAGCAATGGTATATTTCCCTTTTATCTTCCACCAAGATCTCAGAGTATAACCCTCTCTCTCCTAAGTTACCCCATGGAGAACAGAGAAGAGAAAGAACTCAGATCAAAGCCGTGGCTTCCCTTAGGGGAAGTAAAAATTATCAAAACCATGTACCATATCTTGCCATGTATAATGCACATTTTTTTTTGCCCAAATGTCTGAGGGAAAGATAAGGATGCACATTATACATGGGTAGTACTAATTCCATATCTATATATATGTTTTTAATTCTTTTATTTATGCTTATGCATTAGAAGTGTAACTCTAGAAAGCAACAATGATACCTGTATGCAAAATAATACCCTAGAATAGGATCATCATTTTTGTATCTAAACAGAAATAAATAAACATTTGAATTAAAAAATGAAAACAGAAGATTTTTTTTCTTGAAAGTTTGGGCTAAAAACATGGATGTGCATTATACATGACAAAATACGGTACCTTAAATTGTCATAAAACATACAAAAACCATGAGTCTTAAACATAAGTAAAATGTGTGGCCAAGACTGTAACGAAATTGCTCCCATGTAAATAGCACCAGAAACCTCCCTGGTCGACAAGAATCTAACTACTGATGGCTGTGTGAGAAGTGGTCCTTAAAATGGGGAGCTGTACCCCTCGTGTAATAACCCAGGGGGTGCACACATGGGCCTCACGAAAGTCCTGAAACTAGAATTTTAAGCAAAAAAAAAAGCCAACGTTTAATGACTCAATGGTCAAGGATACCTAGGACTTTTTCTCTATTTTCTCATCCAATAGCCTTTGTGGCCTCTTGGTACAGTTACTACATAGGGAAATAAAAGGGGAAGAGGAAACAAATCCTCAATCAAAGGTATGCATTATCCACAGTTACAGTGATTGTTCAGATGGGGGAAATTTTTTAAACTTAAGAGTAATGGAATGCCCTCTTGCCAAAACTGAACGCTACGCATGTTTCAGAACTGATACGCTTTTTCCCTAAAACCTTTTGTTTAACTTTTATTTTTTAGTCTTTAAATTTTCAATTACAGTTGGCATACCCTATTATATGAGCTTCAGGTGGGCAACACAGCGACTAGACATTTCTATAATTTATGAAGTGATCATCCCAGTAAGTCTAGTGCCTGGCTGACGCCATCCAGAGTCATTACAATGTTATTGACTATATTCCCCACGCTCACAGAACCTCTTCTTGGATGTTCCACACCACAGCTAGGAAGAAGAACTTACATTAGCCACTAAAAAGTGACTTGCAAACTTTTCATAAAGATTCTTGGATTCTCCCATTAACTTTTATAGGTAGGGACCATGGTGACTAAAACTCCTTGAAGACGGAAACTGCATCTTTTACATTTTTGGTAGGCCACTGACTAGTATTTATTATCAGAAGAAAACCATCATATTCTTTTTTTTTAACCATCATATTCTGCAGTCAAGCATCCAAAGTCAGTGTGCACACACGCATGGCTTTGGGGTAGGACAGGAGCCATTGGTGCCCCATCCTCAGGCTGCTGCTAGTTCTTCGGCTTACAGTGGCCAGGACCCCTGGCCTCAGGGGAAAGGACTCGGATTTACTTCCCAGGGCCTACAGTAGAGCAGCCCAAGCCAAACCTACTTGAGATTGCCTTCTTGCTCACTTCCCCTCCTCACCTCCACTTCCCTCGCTCTCTTACACGGTTTTCCTGCTGAGTATTCCCTCAGCGAATTCCATGTATTTCAGGTTCTGCTTCTAGGAAACCAGACCTGAGACCAAAACAGGCACTTTAGAAATCTCTTCCTTACAGTGGCTCTGTCTAAGTAGGGAATTTGGGGCTGTTCCCTAGTTATTGCAAGTCAGTGACATTCAGGGAAGCAAAACCAAGAAAGAAGCCTGAGAAATCTAAAGGCACATCCTCCTGCCTCCTCTCAAGCCCTTATCCCAGATGTTATATCCCCGATACCCAGGATGTCTTGGAGCATCTCCTTTCTGTTCTCTTACAGCTCGAGCCCCTGCAGGGAAACAGGTACCTTTGCAAACCACTTGGTAGTTGGTGCAGCAGTCTCCCCTGGCCAAGCAGTCCTCTGAGCAGTGGCATGCATTGTCTTCGTTTCTGACTTCTCCGCATCTGTCCTTCGTGCACTCCCAGCCGCCAGCTGAAATCGGCACAAGAAAACACTTTCACTGCTTCGCACAAACCAAATGAAAGAGGCCACAATTGCTTACAAGGGTTGCCAACAAAAAGAGCCGAAAATCCCACATCTCGTTTAATCTGCTTGTGAAATTGGGGTTGGCCTGAAGCCCAGACGATATTTGGAGGACTTACAAATAGAATGAACGCCTAATTTTTAAGTCAGAGTACAAAGCCAAACACAATCGAGCTCCTTGGGGAAAAAACGGAACTCTTACTGATGGCAGACTGTCCTAAAAGACCCAACGAAATGTACGGTGTCTGAGGTTTGTAATCGGGGTAGTTACCATTGTAGGCGTAGTCACTATAGCTCAGCTCTTTTATTCTCCAAAGTAGCTTTACTTCACTTAAATCAGCTTGATTTAAAACTAAATGGTTGTGCAACTAAATGGCCTCGACCTACTATGAGATGCAGCTGGAGGTTAAAGTCCTAAACAGATGCAAAGATTTTTAAATGGATGTTAAAAAACATTCACGGTTCCAATCATTGACCAAATGGGGCCCTACCTACAAGGAGGTCAGAGTCCCCACATTCGAGGAGGCCCGTGGACGAGGTGGATTTCTGCCTGAGCAGACTCCATTGAGAGCTCACAGCTCAACTCTCCCAAGAGGAAACTTCCAGAAACAGTAATATTTTCCTTTTAAAGAGCATGTTTTATTTTTTGCCTGGCTCTTTTGACCACAAGACTCTAAGTTTCAAGGCAAGAAAACACACCCTTTTCACCCTCCAGTGCCTGAGACTGTGCCTAGCATGTGCTCGGTATTCCATGAACATTTATTGCATCTACTTGAAAATTACCATGAAAATAAAGTGTGACTCTTTAAATTCAGGACTGTCACATGGAGAAACTTTATAGTTAACCCATTTATTCGATAAATCCATGTTTATTATGTTTTCCAGGGTCCACATGCTGGGGATGTTGTGAAGAACAGGAAAGACCAATCCTGTCTTCATGGAGCTTAGGTTCCAGTTGCAATAGGCCACAAGCAGGGAAATAAGGAAACGAGATGAGGCCGGCCTGTGCTGCGTGCCGCTGTGGAAAGAACAGGACGGCGTGGGCAGAGAGCGGCCCGCTGGGGTGGGGTGGGGGTGGGGCTGCTCCTGGGGGCAGAACACTCCAGAAAGTGTTCTCGGAGCTACAGCACACTTCGAGTCATTGTCTCTTTAAAAAGTGGAAGGCACTGATTTTAGAAAGCAATGCTGCTCCTTAAGAATAGTCTACTAAGATATACTATTGTTAGGTGAAGAAGCAGGTAAAGAGATATCTGTTGACATTCTAGAAAATCCTGCCACTGCTGTCTCATTTCCATTCTTTTATTTATTTACTTATTTACTTATTTTTAATTTTCTTTATTGTATGTTTCCCATTACCACGTATCCCCTTCCACCCCTCTCCTGCCACATTCACCACTCTGTTCTTCACGTCCCTGTCCATTTCCATTCTGTCAGACCTACCTGTGCATCCTGACTCCATTCTCGGATTCCATTCCCCTATCTTCACTGCCTTCGCTTCCCAAGTGGATTAAATGCCTGGGATTCCTTTACCCAGACCTTCTATCCCAAAGAGCCATTTCTCCAAGGTTACGCTGACTGACAGAGATCATGCCCCCCCGCCACCCGGCAATTCAAGGATAATTTGACCCACCAACATACTTTTATTCCTCCTCTAATTCCGTAAGAAAATTACTTTGCTTAACAAAGAGCATCACTATTAATAAGTTAGATTTATTGAGGAACTACTAACTTCAGATAAGAATGAAATTTTTTAAAATTCAAGGTTCAGAGTGAACTATAAGCAAGGTATGAGTCAATCAATCGCAAAGTTTTCAAAGCAAACATTGGAATAAACACAAAAAGCATTTAACCTTATTGGATAGTAAGAACGCTATCTATCAGACCAGAAAAAGGCTTTAACACAGGAATATAAATTTTTTAAATGAGAGTTGCGGAAAAGACAGTAGTGAAAAGCTCTCGTGCCCTTTGAGGAAAATATAAACTTTTGACAGTGCAATTTTGTAATATATTTTTAATTTTTTTAAATGTAGGTACATTTTGATCCTAAAATCCAACTTATAGGAATTCATTTTAAGGGAAATAGACAAAAATACAAACATGTGTGAATAATGTTCATTGATGCATTAATAATAGCAAAAAGGGGGAAATATAAGTGCTGACCAATGACTCAGTGAGGTAGATTGTAGCCGTTCAGTGGGACACTACGTAGGCATTCGAAGGATGAGGTGCATAGAGATTTATAAATACAGACACATCCTCACAAGGTTCTACTCACGTGTGTGCTCACATATGCTCCCATGTGTAAATACACGTACACACATACATTCTAAACACACACACAAAGTAGAGTTTACACTGAAACATTGATTGTGCTTATTTCTAGAGGGTGCTTGTGTCAGCAAAGTAAAATCTCAAAGTCTGTTTTCTTTAACTTTTTGCTGTGATTTGACATTTGATTCTTCCACATTTGGCACATGTTATCCTTGTGCACGGGTAATAAAGGACTTTAAAAATGTTCCTGTAGTCCATATTTATTAAACCTGGGAAGAAAGGCATGAGCTACATTCAGAGAAAGCTAAGCCAGAGTCAGGAGATTCATTCAACTTTTCAAGGAGCTCTGAGATCAGGAATCCCGAGGGCTGAGACAACGTGTCAGGAGCAAGGCACGTCAGGAAACGTCAATATTAGTTGGTTCCTCCGTGCCAAGCAAACACAGACCACATTTCACTGGCTTGAAATAATGTCTCAGAGCCAAAGGACTCTGCGGGAACATCTGTTCCATCCGTATATTCAGTTTACAAGGTTCTCAGCATTTAAATTTGCAGACTCACAACTACGGAAACTGAGAGGAGTTCCATAGGAAAGTAATCCCCCCCCCAAAAAGGGGGGCCAAATGTTTGGAAAATGTATTGTGCAAAACACAACCTAATAAAACTTTTCTTCTTTGAGGAGGAACCAACAAATCAGAACTAGAAAAGAAGTTGATGTCAGTTTTCATATAATTAAAGGATATTTCCTTAGCAGAGAAGAATAATGTCTCTGTTTCTAATGATATGACTAGAAAGAGCAGAGTAACGTTAATGATAATAGAAGGTGGATTTTTGAAAGAATCATCTTATCATACATAAAAGTCTAAAAACAAGTCATAGTGTGTCCGTGGAGCTGTGGAATCTCTGCACCCAGTGGTCTGAAGCCCCAGGTTGACTGTCATCTTTCTCAGAGGGTTTGAATGTGATGCTGCCCAGAGGTGTGGTGGGCAGCCTGCAAGGTACCTTCAAAGTTCTACATAAAGTGTTGGGCTTTGCAGACATAGCACGCAGGATGGCAAATGTCCCTAGAGGTGCTTCTTCTCAACTGGTGTGCATTCACTCAAAAGTCTATATATTCTACTGACTGTTCTAGTATAGAAGAAATATTTGAAAAGTCAGGAAGAGATGTGAGTGCCACCCTGAGCACGTGCTCCCAAGTAGAATTCCAGAGCAATTTTCCAGTTGCACAGAGAATGGGGAATAACGTCAGGGTAGAACAATAATCACTACATGATATGATGACATAAACAAATGCTAGAAACTGTGCAAAATAAATAGACACCAAAAAAAGGAAACCAATACTTTAAGAATGTGCACAATTTCAGTCCATGTGCCCTAGCAGTGAATGTGGGAATTGACAGCAAGAGAGAGAAACAATGAAGATTTAAAAAAGGTCTGGCCACAAGTATTTCCAAAACCAGGAAATGACTAGAGCTGCAAAAAACCTTCTTCTGGTGGGCCTTGTGGGAAGCAACAGTTACACCAGGTGCACTTTTTATACAGTTGACGATCATTCAAGAAACAAAACTAAAACCTAAAATTTGGTTCGGCCAAAGCAGGGTGTCAGTGCCAGGGGGTACAACAGCAGGGGGTTGTAAGCCACCTCACTGAGGCTAGAGGACTCCAAAGCTGCATACCTGTCTTCAGACAAAGCTCATCAAAGTCATGGCAGCAACTGCTGTAGCTCTTACACAGGTTGTCACAGCGACAATCAGGAGGTCCAACTTCTTGAAGTTCGAAGCATCGGCCCTTACAAGATCCGGAGGTGTTGGTCCAGGGGGAGTCTGATAACACTGCAAGACACAAGAGACAAAGGCAATGGGACTGCGAAGTGGGTCATGGCACCACGTCGGGGGCGTGGCATGGGAAGGGGTACAGCTCCGTAACACAGCCACACTCTGGCCAAGCAGCCTGGCCATGGTCCATCACCTGCTGGCCATGGTCCCTCGGCAGGTCTCTGAGTTTCCTTGTGCCAGTTTCCCCATCTGTAAAGCGAGGGGACTCATAAAAGTCGCTCGAGGTTGTAATGAAAATTAAATGAAACAATCCGTGCAGAACACTTAGCAGGTGGTCAGACATATAGAAAGCGTGACAAGTGTTGGCTGTTGGTTTTATTACTTTTTACAATTATGACTACACATCCGTGTGGGTTAGTGTCTCTGTGGAAGCCAGTGATGTCAGGACAGAAGAGAACTTCAATACACGTGCTGGGAAACAAGAGCGCCTTTCCCTACTTTAAAAGCCATAGCTTTTCGTGAGGAAAATTGAGCCTAAATGTTCTGAGAATGGTCTGACCATGTGCGATTGGAATAGAGACTTTGAGAATCTCTCGCAGCCATAAAATCTACACCTGTAACTAGAGTTGCACAAAAGTGAATCTGACAATCTTGGCTTGTCAAAAAAAAAAAAAATCCTCATTTGGTATTGTTGCATGATAATTGTTTAGCTAGAAATCTTAAAAATCAACTAAAGTGGGGGAAGAAGTGAGAAAAATTCCACAAATTTGTAATGTACAGGTAATATAAGTTCAAAAATTACATGGAAGTTTAGTTCATAATAGTACCTAAAATATAAAATATCCAAGTATAAATGTAATAGGGCCTGTGTAGAACCTACATGAAGGACACATTAAAACTTTACACAAAGGTATTTTAAAAGACTTAACTAAATGGAAACACATACCATCCTGAATGTAAAAATATCCATATTACAAAAATATCAGTTCTTCCTAAATAAACCTAAAGGTTCCATGCATTCACAAGATTACCTGAAACTTGAGAGAATATTAAAAGTTTATCAAAATAAATATGTGAAAATAGAGAAAACTAAAAAGGGAGAGTAATTTGGTGAAGACCTAGATAGTAAAATATATTCTGAAGTTAATTAAGATAGTTTGGTACAAAAAAAATATATAGTTTGGTACTGAAAATAAGTAGGTCAGTAGCTGGGGTGGGGACAAGAAACAGGGCCAAATACATGAGAATTTATTTTACAATGAAGGTAACACTGTAATGTTTTCAGTTTTTAAAATTACAATTTACATTCAATATTATTTTGTATTAGGAAAGTAACATTTTAAATCAAAGGAAGAGTGAAAACTTAATCAGTAAGTGAAGGTTTAATCAGTGAGTAGTGCTGGAATAACTAGCTGTCTGGGAAAATAAAACTTGCTCTTCATTCTCGCTTACAAAATAATCCCTTTCTGATGCACAGAACGTATAAGCAGCATCAAACCTGTTGCTAGATAAAAAAAAAAAATGTTGTAGAATATCACACAATTTAGAGATATCTATCCCTTTTTAAAATGCTTATGAACCTTTCACACAGAAATTCCATTACTAGGAAGTTGTCTCATATATATCTGCAAGATATATATGTACAAGAAAGAATCGCTCTAGCCATAAATGGAATATTGCCCATCCCTTAAAAGGATGAGCAGATCCATGTAGGCTAATGTGGAAAGATCTACAAAAAATATACACAAGTTTTTTAAAAGATTAAAGTACAGAACAGTGTTAAAATAGTAAATAGTACCTATAATAGGGATAAAAACGACAATAAACAAAAAGATAAAATGTAAATATCCTAATAAATGTTATTTATGACATGCAATTTATAATTTGGTTTCCTTGTGTGCATGTTTATACTTTTTATAATCAGCACGCATTAGTTTTAAAATAAAAAAAAAAAACACAGATGCACAGGGGAGAGCAGATGCTAAGTGACATTTCTAGGTTTATCAAAGCCATTTATCTGAACATCCTGTTCATCCTTTACTCCTCTGTCCTCTTTGAAGTCAGAAGCACCCATTTTAGCCTTGATGGCATCAGCTCCGTTTGACTAAAGCAAACAGACTCACTAGACCATGAGATGAGAAACCCCCTTGCATGGTTGATTTCGGGATGTTGAAACTGTACATACGAAACCACGCCAGTTCAGTTTAGGAAATAATGTCAGGTTTCCAAAGCAATGCCTTCCCTCCAGTTCATAAACCATATTTTTCTACTGACTTTGGCCAACAGCACACGCTGGACCAGAAGAAACTGGAGGGGAGGGAGAAAGGGAACTGAGATGTGAAAAAAGGAAGGAAGTCTTTATAGTAAAAGTAAAGATAAGGAAAATGCTTATCATTGAGTTATTTCTATAAGTTTACTCCTTAGAAGCCCAACAGTAGACTAATAAATTCCCATGAGCTACGTGCATAAATATGTTTAGCTATGCTTATAGCTGAGATAATGTGAAGAAATCTCAAAATACGGTGTGCACAGTTGTTTACTCGGCCTATCTCCTCTTCTTCATGGTGTCCCAGAACATGTTTCCAATTCTCCTCCACGTGTGCCCTTTGCTTTTCCCTCCTCTAGTCTCCTCACTATCTCTTTCCTTGCTTTCAAAATCCCTATATGAATTCTTAGCCATTTTTAACCTTCCTTCCTTCTATCAATGTGATGTTTTCTATTTTCTTAATCCCTCTCTAAATGTGTCCCTCATTTGTTTTTGAAAATAATTAAATCTCACGCAATAGCTGACTCCATTGAACTATAATTCTCCCTACCAACCCGTAAACTGAAGGCAGCTTTGTTAAGAAAGAGTGGCCCTTACACTCATAATGCCAAGCTGTATCTCCTCAAAAACAGTGTACTCAAGACTGGGTTGCCAACAGCTTCCAGATAGAATTCCCAGGCATGTGTGAATTAGGGATACAGATGTCAAAATTCCTTCATGGCTGATGTGGATTCAGGGACAAAGGCGGGAAGGGAAGGGGGAAGAGGGATTGGGCCGTGTATGACCTCGAATCCAGTAATCCCAAGACTTGGACCAGAATGTGTTCCCATGTCTGCCAACCCTCCCCAAAGTACAAAGGGCAGAGAAAGGAGGCAGAGAAACTGGGTGGCATTCAAGATGCCTCCCAGCTCTAGAATTTAACATGTCTTATGCCTCTTCTGGAGCGTATGATTCATTCTTCCTGGCCATACTTTCTTGTATGGAAGTTGTCATTTTTTCTTGATATTTTTGACTTCATACCTTAGTAAGCAGCCCTCACCTGTAGGCCTGATTCCTAAATACACCACTTTCTGGAAATACCCATTCCTGCCAGCATTGCTATTCTCCCCTCTTCCTGGCTGCTGGGCCAGATTTCATAGATTTTTTTTTAAGATTCTATTTATTTATTTTTAGAGAGGGAAGGGAGGGAGAAAGAGAGAGAGAGAGAAACATCAATGTGCGGTTGCTGGGGGTCATGGCCTGCAACCCAGGCATGTACCCTGACTGGGAATCAAACCTGCCATGCTTTGGTTCGCAGCCCGTGCTCAATCCACTGAGCTACGCCAGCAAGGGCTTCATAGACCATTTGTTAAATAAATAGTTCTACCTGGGAAGTTCACAAACACCTGTACTTCCCATATATTTATAAATACAGCATCCTTGTGTAGAAAAAATCTTATTTTTCTAGAAAACACTAGAACAAAGCAGATCTCTATAAACTCCAGTTTCAAAAATTACTAATGTGAATGTAACTTGTAAACCACTCCAGCGGCATTTGTGATGGCAGTCAGCAGTGTCAGGCTGAACGATTTGCAACATGCTGCCAGACAGTGAAACACCGTTGTATTTATATCTCAGGGACTGTCAAAGCAATACCATCGAAATTTAAAAACTGGCCTTCAAATATTAATTGAAGACAAATTAAACATGTCATTATATAGTTAACACCTTGTATCATCATCAGCATTGACATGGCATTTTGTTTTCAAGAATCTTTTCCAATAGAGAGGCACCATGATCTCCATTTTTCCAGTTGGAAAATCAGATCTCTAGGCCTAATTTGAGCTAGCAAAGGCCTGGCTGAAATTTTAGATCATCTGGGTATAACGACAGTGCTATGTTCATGAAATTTTGTCCATAGGGTCCAAATTATTTCAGATATTCTCTTTAAGACATGATTTTAGAAGATCTGTTGACTTTTTTGTTGATTCAGGAATCTATGTTGAGCACCGTTGAAGACTGAAATTTCTGTTCATACAAACAAGATAGAGGATTTGGTATAGTTTTACGATAAATGAAAAGTCACTACCCCAGAACCCCACGTAACTAAGAACTGAAAAATCCACGCCCTCCTTAGATTCGAATTCAGATCATTTCAGCACATTGACTGGAACGTCCTGATTTCTACAGTAAGTTTAACACCAAGTCCAATGGCATCCTGAGATAGTTTTCCTGGCAGGGCTGGCCTGATATTTCTGCCAGCTTTGCAGCTTCCTAAATGTTACTAGCCCATCTTTTAAATAGCTAAAATTCATTTTCACTGCAAAATGAGATCCCTAAAGTTATCCAATGGGCATGAACCATCGTATTCCTGTTATCATTGTCTGGTTTCTCTGTGATTCACAAAGGAAAGCTTTGCTCATCAGTTGTTAGATAAATTCACTTCACATTTACACCCATGAATTCCATTCATATTTGCATACTTTTAAACGTTCAAGCCACTGTAAAGGATAATAGATTGAACTGCACTTTCAAGTGGATTAGTCAGATATTCACAAGCTTACAAATTTCCCTTCATCTTCCAAGTATTAAGTTACTTATATGTCAGAGGACATCCCAATTCTCCCTGGAGACTGAAAGAGTATCTAGCACAAACGCTGGTGTAATAGACCATACCATCATAAGCACACATGCATGCACATGTACATAGGTGCACAGGTACACACACCTGTACACACATAAAGTCTCTTGCAACCTTAAAGGTGAATCAGACTGGCTGCCTCAGATGTACATATGGGGCAAAGACATCAAACTAAATTGCACTTGTTACTCACATTTTCATTGGAAATTTATTTCCGCTATCTCATTTACCTGATTGCCCGTCATATTTACCCAACAGAATTATAACTAGCTTGGCTCATTTCAAATCTTCGACTAAGTCTATTGATCTTTTATGATCTGGTAGAAGACATCTTATTCCACCATTACTTCTAATAGATCACTAGATCCCAACAATACATCCAGCTGACAAGTGTGCTGGTTAATTAATTATAACAGTGTGTTTGCACTGCCCGAGCCTTGACACTAACACCCCAGTCCATAGTACAGCAGCAAGGGGCTGTGTGGGTGTCGCACGCTCCCAGCTATTGTTGAGAACTCTGAAGACCTACATTCACCAAACAAGAACCTGCGTGCTTTTGAATGGGAGGTCTTGCTCTGATCAGTCTGAAGCTGGCCATATATTAACGCCCTTTGTGTCCCTTCTATTCTGTGAAACAATCTAGAAGCGCTGAGCTTCCCAGGATTTCTTAGAACATGAAAGTGTCGTTGAACACAGGCACAGCTGTCTTTCTTCCTAGTGTCTTGTTCTGATGTGTATAGAAAAGTTCACCCAGTGTTTTCTGATGCTAAATCTCAGCTGACGGAATAACCGGCCACACATGTTGAGGGAGGCCCTTTCTAGGCACATAGTACGTTTAACAAGATAAAAAACATTTCAAGTCTCTGCACTGTTTTCACCCAGTTGCCTAAGTATAGCTCCGGTCTTGCCTAAACAGCAGGTAAGCTACGTCAATAGAAAAATTAAAAATAAAAAGTGTGCTGGCATACCAAATTCCTAAAATGCAGACTTAAATGGCATTGCATCCCAAGACTAAGCTTCCTATAGGTAGAATTTTGACTAATAAATTACTTTAGAAGATTCCATAGAGGCCTAAAATAATACATGACTTAATTAAATGATTCAAAAAGCAAATATTTTGTAGTACACTTAAGATCACTTAGATTTATTTACTATAATATAGATTATATTATCTTCCAAAAAGTTGCATTATTTCATTAGCTCTTATTGCTATTTCTTATCATGTATGGAAGCAATGCATTATACACAAAATATATTCAAGGTTTAATAAGTGTGGTCTACACTTTTCAAGTTCTCCACTGGAGTCTAAGCACATAAAATCAGAGGCAATGAAACAGAGTAGGTAGAACCGTGGGTTGTTGTTTTTTTTTAATCCAGTAGAAAAACTGGAAATCATCCAGGCCTGCTCCTCATGGTACAGCTAAGGAAACAGACTTCGCAGGTGACTCGCCCAAGACCGCACAGCAAGTTACATGAACTCAGGATGCTAGGTCCAGGGCTTTCACGACCGGTTTCCAAAAAATAAAAAGTCGACTGTGAAAATAATGAGTGGCTGGGTTTTATGCATTCATTAAGAAAACAGCTTGTAATGGCAGCTTCAGCCAATGCGATACATTACACAAAACAGGGAAAAGTTCCTCTGAAGGCGCACTGCAGAGAACCAGCAGGCTGCCCAGCCGCCGGCTGGCTCGCGGGCCGTGCTAAGCATCGGTCCCCCTTCCAGTCCTGCAGTTACAGCTGGTGTGAATGGGAGTCATGCTCGTCTGGAGCAAGAAGAAGAGGTCTTTGAAGAGAGCATTTGTTACCAATAAAAATGGGATTCTCCAGCCTGCATCCACTCTCCCCTCCTTTCCCAACAGCAGACAGCTCCCTGTGTCCATTTGGTTCCCGGGGGTGCAATTTTTATGATTTGTTTTCTCACTTTTCACCCCAGCCGCATCCCACTAAGCCTTACTCAATGACTTCTCATATAATTCTGGCATGATACAAAGGAAATTCCCTTGATGTGAAGACAACAGTACTCTAACAATATATGTATCATAACCTGGTTCACGAAGGCTCACGCTGGCTGAGCGGAGACAGGTGACAGTCTCCGAGTAGTCAGGTCGAGAAACAGAGAGAAATACAACATTCACAGGGAGGCAGACAAGCATGTCGAGATGTCAGGGAAAGTCAAGAAAATATTGCCCCCTAGAGTCCCCATTACTTAATATGTAATTTTTATTTATAAAACCATCAGCAGCTCCAATTTCCAGGAAATTAACCAACTCATTACTTAAGACCGGGTCAGTTAAGCCCCCTCCGTCTGCACAAGGAGCTCCTTTATAAGAATCCCCGCACTGCTTATGGCACAGCGCATTGTAAAAGGAAACCCTTTCACTGCAGCTCTATTAGTTAAGTCAAGGTACACTGCTGAAACTCACCTTGTTTTATGCCTTAGGAAAAAACAGTGAGGTCAGGATTTAAGCACCTCCTTCCTGTTATGCTTTTCCTCTTTTAGGTAAATCTTAATCGGACAGTCCTAAATTTCTACAGTTTCATCAAGTCAGCTCACGGCCCTTCTTTACTCCCACTCCTCTTTTTGCCTAAGTCAGAACTTTCTGGAGATAAATGCTGCATCCAACACCACATCACAGTGAGTCAGATTCCCCCGTCTCCCACACTAAACCAGCACCTGTCCTCGCCGTTTCTAGTTTAGCCTTGTCTGTTACACAAGAGTTTTCATTTTTTCTCAACCTTTATGAATGTCAAGGTAAAAATTCTTAAATAGCCAGTTATCATGAAGCCATCATCAATGTCCTCTAATTAAATAAAACCATGTCCTCTCACCTGAATTATACCCAGAGCTGGTTGTATTCTGGAGAAATCAAGGGTAAAATAGTTACACTGCAAAACTATTTAAAGACAACTTTCTTAATGAGTTTCTATTGATTTTGAAAAGATCTGAAATGCAAACAGTTGCCAGCCTTACCTGTCGGAGGGCCTTCATCCCATTCTTCTGCCCTCTTAATTCGATGTGCTGTGAATCCCAAGCAGATGTTGGCTCCGATAGCAAAAGTGAACAGAGATATCACCTAAGGGAATAAGAAGAGACAGGGATGTCAGAAACAGCTAGACAAGACTTCAATATCACCACCCAATCCCACAGTTTCCAAAAATGCACCATCAAGGGCTGTCTTTTATTTTTCTTAAAACAAAAAGACAACCAAAATCAGAAACCAGTTCTAAAGATCAAGGCCGTCCCCTGTCCTCCCTCCTTTCTCCTACCTGATGTGCCTGGAACGTGCCGCTCCGGGCCATGACAGCGTGTTCTGGGAAAGGCTTTTTGCAGTGTGTTCTCTGCCTCCACTGAATGCACTGCTTTTTGGGGCTCTGAGCTCCGTCTATTAACTACAAGAAATCCCACCTGGGAAGTTGACAGGCTGCTCTGATTTGCCCAAAGCTTTATGTCATCACAGCGGGTGCACGAATCGCAGCTCTGAGCAGAAGAGGCTGGAAACATCACCCTCCTTTTCTCCTCCCCCTTATCGGTCCCTCCCCTAACACACAGACTTTCATGTGGTTTCCTCTGCTAACATGAGGGTTTCTTGTGTTGCTGTTACCAGTAACAGCTCGTGTTCATTTTCCTTCCCTCACAAAAACATGGTTTTTAAAAAAGAAACCAAATGTATTTTATCCAATAAAAAAGAAACAGAACTGGAAAGGGATTTATGCTCGTTTTAAGCTTTGAAGGTTTACAATGTAGTCATTCAGTGTCGTCAACCTCACGGCTTTATTTTTTTTAAAAAAGAAAGAAAACAAGGACAGTTTTATAATTTATAACCCTAATAACTTTCCCTGTCTTTCTCATGTATTTATTTTTCTGGCTTTTCAAGCGACCTGTTCCTAGTGCCACATTCTCAGCTCCTCCTGACTCCTCAAATGTTTCTCACGATGAAATCTACCAGGATTGTAACTAACACAAGAGATAGCATTATTTTTCCCCATGCTGTGAGAGTTTAGAGAAGTAACTTTTATCAAAACACGGGAATGCCAGCTAAGCAGTGGAAAGCCCTCTGCCCTCTGAGGAGGGACACAATAATTTCAGTTTCTGCCTCCTCTTCTGAAAAAAAAAAAAAACTGTCAGCTTGTTTCTTGGACGGGTAGGGGGTTGGGTGGAGGGGGAAGCTTTATTAGTGATTGAATTTAGGAAGGAAATCTCAATGGTGCAAGAACTCAGCATTAAAGAACTACTTCCCTGGTTAATTTCCAGTTAAATTATCATCCAGCCCCTCAAAACTGCACCCTTTGCAACTATTGTGAGTGTTGAAGTTTCTTTCCTAAGCTATTTGGCAACCAGGAAACTTCTAAAAGAAATCAAGACGTCTAAATCTGAAAGTTATATAAATTTCGTATGCTTTTAGCATTCAAATGAGGGTCAAATGAGGGAAGAAGGCTTGTCCTTGGTTTCTCTCTCGCCAAGCCCGGTGAGAGCAAGAGAAAATCATTGGGGTGCAGAGCACATGTGTATCCATAAACAAATACACTACTCACCATGCAACGGAGTGGTGGCTTTGCTCAAATGAAACAGGATAGCACAAAAGCAAGAATTTGTTTATTACAGTGGATTGCACAGTAGGCCTGGGCTGCATTATATGTTCTAGGATTTAGTAACAGCTCATTGAGAAAAGGAAAGCACTGGCAAAGTTTAAGCCGCCTTTCTAAACTCCCCTTAGTTGTGCACTCTTGTGAGATGGTAGGCTCATGATTTTTTTCTATGGAAATCTCTTTCTTTAGTCTGTGTGCCATACTGAAATGATTTGGAGTCGGGTATTTAGGAAGGCTTATGAAAAATGTTAACCTCATGTAAGATTTCTCTACTACTTATATTAAATTTCAAGATGCAGGACTGTCTTTACAGAGACACGCTATGAACCGAAAAGGGCCAACATCCTGTGACTGCATCATCTGCCACCGTGTTCCAAATGTTCTTAAAAACCTGCCTTCCTGTCTCTGCAAGCTCCCCAGCCCTTGCCGGAGTCCGGCAGCTTGAGATGCTGACATTTCATTGTGGAAACTCAGTTTGGAGATAATGAAGGCTTGCCTGGAAAATAAAATTAGACTCAGAAGCTAAACATTGTCTATTTTTTTTTTTTGGACATGCAGAGTAGCTGTGCAGGGAGAAAAAGCTGTAAGTGTAATAGCCAAGTTGATCCGTAATTGGCTTCTGTACAGCGCTTGCTACCAATTATCTAAGAGGATTGAGCACAGCCACTATGGCTGTTAACGGTTCTGCCAAAGAGCTTTATCTTCCACCGGGTCGTTGTACATATGGAATTCATTAACGGGCACATCCGCACTCGTGTGCGCACACACGCACACACACACGCACACACTATCTAACCAGAGCTAGCCAGAATTTTACTACAAGACATCACTGTACATTAATTCTCAGGAGGATGACCAAAGTCCCTACCTCGGGCATCAAATCAACTACAACATACAATTACCTCTCAAAAATATTAATACTGCTCATTGTCCAAAATAGAGAAAACCAAAAGTCCGGTAATGCACAGGTCTAGAAACCCAATTAAAATGACTGAAATATCATCCAAAATGTTCTATAACAAAACCAAGTTAAGAAAGCTCACCTACTCTGGGTTTTAAGATTTTGGTATAAGGTCATCCATGGTTGGGTCAGCAATCAAGAAAATGCATGAGAAAGACTAAAATTAGCCTCCAGTGTGGTTTACTAATCCGGCTGTATTTCAGAAAACACTGCCCCCTGGCAGAGGAAAACCCAGAATGGTAAACAAATCTGTGACAGTCTCTGACCATAGAAATCACTCTGTTGTTCTCAAGCTTTCCTCAGTGTAAGAATCACTCCGAGAGCTTGTATAAACTGTTGACACCTATGGCCTATTCCCCGAGATTCTAATTCATTAAGTGAGTGGGGTAGGGAAAGGGAAGGGGGAGTTTAGGGGCCAGACAAGAACTGGCACAATAGGCTTCTGATGCAAGCAATGTAAGGACCACATTTAGAGCAATGGAGCATTAGAATAAATTACCCTGAGTTAATTTGTTTATGCCCTAAAGGTTGAATTGCTCCATCTGATTCATAATGTAATTTTGATATATAATTAATAGCATTTACTACAAATTGGGCATTAAAGTTTAGATCTCTCTATGACAAACCATGACTGCTCCTCCTTGGGAATCATCTCCAAACTGTGAGCAGCAGAACGGTCTTTTATGTACTTTGCTGGTGGTACAAAGCAGCAGTGTGTGTATTGCTTAATTGCAATACAGTAGTTGCATTTATACAAATGCACAGTCTACCTTTTCATGAAATGGTTCTGTGAATCCTTGTTCCCAAGCTCTGATTAAGGTAAGAGGGCTTGTGGTTAACAGGGAGATCTGAAAGAGATGGAGCTGAGGGTGGTCATTTATGCCTCCTGCAGTAATTACGAAATCTTCGTGAACTGATTCAAACTTTATCTATATCCAGTTTCTCCTCGTGCAGAACTAACATGACTTGATTTGGCTTGAACACCATTCCCAGAATACTTCTAAGACTATGATGTTACACAATTGCTGACCACTTTATTTGCAGTGGTGCCAACTAGCAATAACTACAGCACGTACACTGTGAAAGTAAGAGGACAACACCCACGTGCATTCTTCCTGGTCTTCTTTAAAACTTTTTGAGTTAAGTCCTGTTTTTTTAAATTCTGCTCTGGTGGAGGGCTATAAGGAAATTCGGAATAAAAACAGAACAACAGTCTTTTGCCAATCTAAATTGAGCAAAACATTCTAACAGCTAATAGAGAAACAAGCCAGCTCAATCGCTCCTTCAACCCAGGACTGCAAATGTGTATAAAGTAGACACCTCCTGAGATTCTAAACCACAGATGCGAAGGTCTGTGAGTAATCTATGTCGTGGGTGGGAGGGTGTCTCCAGTGGAGAAAGAGCATACGACTATTCAAATGCAAACAAGGCTTGTGCATTAGTCATTATGTAATTGAGAGCTGAAATCAACACTGTCACATCTTTCAATGACTTCAATTTACACGGTAAACTTCTATGCATTTCATTTACTCCTGATGCAGTGTAAGCAGAAGCCCCCCACGCCAGAACAATCTCAGCTCTCTCAGGATAATCACTCATTGCAGGAATATTCACAGGCCCCTACTGTGCACCAAGCACTGTTCTGGGCACTGGTATTATGCAGGGAGCTGAACCAAACATAACCCTCCATATCACCACATAGGCACAGGAGTGCATGAAGACAGCACAGAATTTAAAAGTTCTGAATTTTTTATTTCTGGGATTTTCAGTTTAATATTTTCAGACCGAGACTGATTGTGTATAACTGAAACTGGACAAAACAAAACCACGGATAAGGGGGATTACTATAATTGGGACTGATCTAGTCAGGAGGGTCGGAGGAGACTTCGTGGGGCTCCGACTGAGCCGTGATGGAAAGGGAAGTGGCAGTAACTAGGTGAGAGAGGAGGAAAAGCTTCCAGATGGAGGGCACAGGATGCACCAAGGCTCTGTGTGGGGTGGACCTCAGCATGTGCACGTGATGACCCAGCAGCCGGGTTGACTAGTGCAGGGAAAGCAAAAGTTAGCATGGAACGAAATGAGACTGCAGGGGCTAGTAGAGAGGCCAGTTCATGGGGGCCACGATGGTCACAGAAGGTGGTATTGTCTTTATCCTAAAAGCCATGGAAAGGCTTAAAAGAGCTTAAGCAGGTGGAAATTTAATCAGATTTTAAAGTGCTAATCTCTGTACTATGTGGATATGAAATGTAGGGAGTCAAGAATGGTTATAATAGATCAGTTTGGAAACAAGGTCAATAATCCAGACCACAAATCGTGACACCTCCCACTGACAAGGTTATGGTGGTGGTGCAGAGGGAGAGACCCAGGTGAGTTAAGATGAAGACTTGTTCATGAATTGGGTATAGGAGTTGAGGGGCAGGAAGATGTAAAAGTATGACTCCTGAGTTCATGAATATTCAGCCATTAAGATGACCAAACACATACCCATTGAAGTCATTTCTTAGGTTTTAATTAGCTTATAAGAAAGACATGGGTATATATATTCAATATATATATTCAATATATATACACAGCCATTTGCCAACACTCTAGAATTAGGTAGCTAAAATAAGGGACAGGCTAGTAGCTTTAAAGCATTGGCCAGTAGTTTTAAAAATCAAAAAAGGAAGTCGACTTAAAGTTATACTGGACTTCAAACACTTTAAATACATTTATTCACGATTGAGTTTCAAGGAGATTACCACCAGGAAATAACCCAGCCTTGTCCCTAAGTCTACCTTGTAATAAAACATTTTAAAACTCAAAACCCAACTTAAGTCTACTTTTTTTCAGCTGCTCTGAAACCCGCCTGCTAAATATCTCAGCTAATGG